AAACCTGCGACCTGTCGATCTTCAGTCCTGCCAGCACAAGGGTTTAACGCATTGTGCCACCGGGGGCTCCTCATATATTATTATATTATACACATTATTATATTATATTATTATATTATATTATAGTACTATATATTATTATAGTACTATATAATAATAAATAGTACTATACTAGTAATATAATATATTGTATGTAATATCTTGTAAGCCGCTCTGAGTCCTCTTTGGGGTGAGAAGGGCGGCATATAAATGTCGTAAAAAAATAAATATAATATTGATAATATTATAATGTGATACAATAATATAATTATCTATTTTATATTTCAGTACAATTGTATAGTATAATATAGTAATATATCATACTAATATGTGTTACAGTAATAATATAATATATTGTATTTACATATTACTTGTAATATAAATGTCGTAAATTTTATATTACATTATATTGTATTATTAGCATAGGTCCTTAAAGTCTCCCAACAGCATTGCGAATGGCACCCACTGATGTGAAATTGGAAATTGAAGGGCATTGATATTTGGGCGAGATGGTGTTGTCTGCTATAACGATCAAATTCAAAAATTAAATGGGATGGAGGTGCTATCTAGCCAAGGTTAGGTGGAGGACGTCAAGATCAAGGAAGGGGTCTAAACCACCAGATACCTCAATGTTGCAAGTAGGATTGGAATTGAAACTTAAGAGATTCGCCCATAGATGAGAAGTTTGCGATTTCCCCACATCTAATGCACACATGGGGAGTGGTGGTAATAATAATAATAATAATAATAATAATAATAATAATAATAATAATAATAAACTATACCCCACCACCATCTCCCCAAAGGGGACTCGGAGCGGCTGGTGGTACCATCAATGGAGAAGTGATTTGAGGACAAAACCACACAGATACCGCTTTTTAAATAACAAGATCCATTTATTGAAAGAAGAATTTGGATCAGAAACAAACAAGTCTCTCAATGCAGTCGAATCACATCCAACACCAAAGACCTCACATTGGCTTGAATAGGAATTCCCCCATTTAGCGTTCAAAGGAGACATAGCAACCAGTGATGGATATTTAGCCCCTCCCACTGCTGTATATATTTCAAACCTATGGAGGAGGTCTCTTACTGAATGTCTCTAAGGGTCAGCTAAGTTCTATTGGTGGCTCCAACTATAGTAGACTTATGAGGTCAACGGCTGAAGGATAAATAAGATGTACCTCGGGAACCTAAGTCCTTAGCAGCAGATACAAAGCAGGTTCACTGTTACCAGCAAAAGCTACCTGCTCCTGCTACTGATGTATAGCCCTGAATTCCCCACGTATGAGGAGCTAGGGAGTCTCCCAATTAACTTAGCGTTTATAGCAGCTATTCCAGCTGAACGCCGTCTGTGCTCTGTCTCTTTTCGTCTATCTAGAAATGTGAACACTTTCAAAACCTCATTGTCTGATTCTTCTTCTCCCTGAGCACTTCCCTGCTCCCCTTCCTCTTCCAAAGATGAGGAAATCCTAACGTCCTCCTCCTCAGTACCACCATGCATGCGCCATGGAGCCCAGGCTGGACGTGAGCTCGAGGCGGAGGGAAAGCAGCATCCAGACAGAGAGATTGATTGAAAAAGAGGGGCCATCTTCCAGAGGGAGGGTGGATGGGGGACATACGTATACGTATGTATACTGTACATATACTGTAAGTGTCCCTACTTTGCGGATTTTCACTTATCGTGGGTGGTCCTGGAACGTAACCTTTGCAATAAGTGAGGGAACACTGTATGGGGTTCAACTACCACGTTCCTGGGTGCTTTTAGTCATATTTGCACTACTTTGGGGCAAAAGAAGTCCACAGAAGTCACCAAGAGGATGCCTACCAACATGATGTGTGTACACTCTATAATAGTTACTCTGTTTTCCTCTAAAATTCAATTACCTCCTCCAGTGACTGAAGGAAGCTAGCCATGTTTACATACATTACATTTCTTCGGTTTTACAGGGTTGTGTTGAATTGTGTTGTCAAAGGCTTTCATGGCAGGAATCACTGGCTTGCTGTGAGTTTTCTGGACAGTATGGCCATGTTCCAGAAGCATTCTCTCCTGATGTTTTGCCCACATCTATGTCAGGCATCCCCAGAGGTTGCGAGGTGTGTTGGAAACTAGGCAACTATCACCAAAGTAAAAAAGGAAGCATAATTAAATCCTTGTGAGGATGCCTGGCATAGATGTAGGCAAAACGTCAGGAGAGAATGCTTCTGGAACATGGCTGGACAGCCCGAAATATTTACAACAACCCAATACTTTGTGAAACTGTAAAGTTCACAAAGAGGGAAAAAGGAGCCCTGAAAGAACGATCCTTTTTGGGGGTGTCCAGTTGAGCAAGATACCCCAAAAATGGGTCTTTTTTCGCGACTCATCAACTGACCTGATTTCTTTCACTTTTAAGCACTGCTCTGTAGGAAAGGCTGCGACAACCCAACGGTGAAAGCAAGACACAGAAGGAGGGGGGAAAAAAGAAAGCAAGCTGGCAGCTGTCTTGCAAAAATAAAATAAATCAACATTTTGATTCAATTTAACATTTCCCAAGCCTGCTATCAGATTGCTGCGATGACCCGGATTAGAAACTTGCGTGCCGTCGCGGGGAGATGGCAGATAAGCTTGGAAGCAAATAATCACAACACTTTTTAAAAAGCACATATTATTATTCAACGTTTGCTACATCCCAAAACAGCCTCAACCAGGCGGCAGGTACCGCAATTGAATTCCACCAACCTTCGATGCCATCTTGTAACATTTTTTCCTTCCCTCTCTCCCCCTATTTTCATCTCTTTTTTTAACGTTGTTGTTCTAGAGGAGAAAAGGTTGTTTTGCAGCCCGCACATCCCAGGGCGCTTCCAGGCAGCACTAAATCACAGGGGCAAAAAATCCCAGGACTTCAGAACAGGTCCACATACAGACCTGTTGGTCCTGGGATTTCTGCCTCCGTTCTTCAGATTTGATGCTTCGTTGTGAGATTTAGCGGCTCCTCGATATGCAGATGTGCGGAGAATCACTGTGACGAATCTCTGCAAAAGTTCCGTATCTTCCACACAAACAAAGTTGATAGGAAAGGACCACTTCTGCCCAAGTCAGCACTGCACAATTAAACAGGCAGACTTTCAAGCCAGGAACAGAACACTTTTTAGAGCCCGGCTGCCTGGCCATCTGTGCAGACAGATTTGGTTGTGTATTTGTGACATCAAACAATAGGGTGCTGTTCCTGGGTTATACCTGACCGTTCCTGAATGCTCTCTTTTGGACTACAGCTCCCAGCATCCCCTCAACCAAGCCTTTTAGGAGAGGAGGATGATCCAAATGTCCTGCTTCCAAGATGCAAGCTTTCTTCTCCTTGGATTTCTTTGAGAGCATCCCAATCCCGGTGTATTTCTAATTTCCTATTCCTGGACTGCAACTCCTAGCAATCCTCCAGATAGATAAGACAGACACATAGATTAGAGGTAGGTAGGTAGGTAGATAGATTGATCAGGAGGACTGCTGGGAGTTGCAGTGCAAGAATAGTTAGAGAAGGGAGAAAGGGGAAGGGAAAGAAAAGGGAAGGAAGGGAAGAGGAAGTGAAGGAAGGAGATAATGAAAGAAAAAAGGGAGGGAGGGAGGATTGACGGAAGGAAGGAGGGAAGGAGGGAGGGAGGGAAGGAAAGAAGGGAGGGAGGAGGGAAGGAAGGAGGGAAGGAAGGAGGGAGGGAGGAAGGGAAAGAAGGAAGAGAGGGAAGGATGGAAGGAAGGAGGGAAGGAAGGAAGGAGGGAGTGAAGGGAAGAGGAAAGGGAGGAGGAAAGGAAGGAAGAAGGGAAGGAAGGAACGAAGGAAGGAGGGAAGGAAGGACAGAAAGAAAGGAGGAGAGAAAGAGGGAGGGAAATTGGCCACAGCAACGCGTGGCGGGTACAATTAGTATTTAATAATCTAGAGATGATGTGGTAGTAGTAATCTTTCGTGGGTAGCCAGCCTCTCCTCCCGACATCCCCGTTGCCTCAGAACTATTAGAGGGTTTCACGAAACCAGTTGCTCTCGTTGACACGGTGTAGTAATGGTGAGGCTGCAGATAATACTGTAGTTCTTGGGGACCACTGGTGCATGGAACACGGGTTGGGAACCACTGTTCTAAGCTGACACTAAGGATAATGTTATCTATGGAACAAAATCTGGAAAAAAATCGTGCTCCCTCCTCCATCACATATTTATACATGGTTATCATGTCTCCTCTCCGTCTTCTCTTCTGCAGGCTAAACATGCCCAGCTCTTTAAGCCGCTCCTCATAGGGCTTGTTCTCCAGACCCTTAATCATTTTAGTTGCTGCGGAATGTTCCACAAAAAACAAGTTTTTGCAGTTTAATATACCTTTTCTATGTTTTTATGATAGAACCAATTAGGAAATGACACTTATAACCCAGGAACAAAAACCATGCCACATAGTGTAATCTATGCAAGCGTATGCATTCAAAGGTTTGGGATAATAACTTTACTCCCTTGGTCTCGAAGATGCTACAAGATCCCATTGCACATTGTCGTACCATTAATGAAACAGACAACCAACTAGACAGACAAACAACAAACACATTCTGGTCGCTTTAACAGAAAAGGAAACAATGCTTTCTATGGCTCTTGGCTTTTAAGGTGGGTTTTAGGGGACGTTTGTAATCGTACTATAAACTCCAACGTGTACACAATCATACAACATGATAAATACCCAACACTGTGTTTTGTGCTATTTTTAAGGCCCTTTCTTGCTATCCCTTCTCTTTTTTTGCAGCCAAATAATGCACTGCAGCAACCTTGGTAGGCTACGGTTTCCCATCATCCCAAAGAGTACTTTGATGTCACACTGGGGAGGATGGGAGTCCTTACCCAACACTTCTGGAATGCTCTCGAGACCAAAGCAAAAAGCTCTTTGGACACAACCAGCCTGGAATAACAAGAAACGTTAAGGCTTTGGACGGGAAAGAAGTAGCCAACGGCTTGGGCTCGGCAGGAAAGAAAAAGGCCTTTATTGAGAGGAGACGTGGTCATCACAGGATCCTGGTCTGGCTGAGGCTGAAGGCAGGTGGCTTGTTTTCAGCTGGCTGGAGCTAGAAGAGAGGACAATAGCTGGTGTTAAAAGGAATGGCCCTTAACACTAAGGACTGGCCATGAGTGGGCTTCAGACTAAGGTGGGTCAGCAAAAAACAGCCACAACCCCTTTGGTTTTATTTATACCTCCCAATATATATTTTTAGAGACACACAAGCAACGTAGATAGAAACTGGAGGGACAAAGAGCCAGTGTTGTCCATAGGTCATGTGGTCAACATGACTGCATGGAGCTGTGTTACCTTCCCGCCGGAGCGGGAATAATAACATAATATAATATAATATGTTGTATATACATATAATATTAATATTACAATGTAATGCAATATAAAACTACTACTAATAATAATATATTATAATTATATATTTTATATTACACTAGCCATCCCCTGCCACGCGTTGCTGTGGCCCAGTCTGTGTATATGTTTTGTGTGTATATATGAAATATATAGTTATATTTATACTATAGTTATACGAAATACGCATAGTTATACGAAATAACGGAACTACTTGATGACGCAATTGAATAACGACTCGATACAGAGACGCTCACAACAATGTTTTAAGCCTTGTATGGTTTTATATTTTTATATTGTATATTTATGTTTTTAATAGTATTTTATGATTGTTATATTTTTAATTGTTATGACTGCTGAGGCATCAAATAGTTGCCATTTGTAAACCGCTCCGAATCACCTCTGGGCTGAGAGGGGCATATAAATATGGTCAATAAATAAATAAATAAATGTTTGCATGTATATATGTGGTTTTGCACATGCGTTGTCAAGTTTTGTTTTTGTTTTTTAAGTCTTTCCTGCTGTGTTTTTCACTGTTTTTATGAGTGATGGTCACTCATTGGCCTGATAGGTGTACCGTGTTCAAATTTGGTGTCAATTCGTCCAGTGGTTTTTGAGTTATGCTAATCCCACAAACGAACATTACATTTTTATTTATATAGATGTAATGTAATATTACTAATAATATTGCAATATAATGGTATAGTACAATATAGTAATATATCATCCTGATATTGCGCTATGCTAATAATATAATATATTGTGTGTGTGTGTGTGTGTGTGTGTGTGTGTGTGTGTATGTATATATATATATTGTAAGCCACTCTGAGTCCCCTTCAGGGTGAGGAGGGAGGCATATAAATGCAGTAAATAAATAAATAATATTAATTATTAATAATACCAATATTAATAGATTAATAATTAATAATGATCAATATTAATTATTATTATTAATAATAGGGTTTGCTGTGACCTACAACAATTAAGGGCTGAGCTACTGCTCTTCTTGTCACTCTCCTTATGACCCAGTCAGAACTTGCAGCGCCGACATTAAATATCAAGGCACAGTGTATTAAAAACGGGTGGGAAACCAAGCTACAGGTTGCGAAACACACACTAATAAAGGTGATTTATGTCCCTCGTATAAATGAACAGGGACTAAAAAAGGGACAGGATAACGAAGGCTAATTAATGGACAAGATGGCTTTTACTTACTTCCAAATTTCCCCGCGCCTTCTTTAAGACGTCGTGAGTCAAAGCCACTGCAAAAGGAAAACAAGGCAGAGATTTCAGCAGGCATATCGTACTCATGCTTTTCCAAACAGTCTCCACCCGAGCATGTGCCCAGTTTGGTATTTGATGCAAGGTTCTCGGATATGGAGTCTCATCACATCCTGCCAGATTTAAGTCCATGGAAGGGATCTTAAAATGGAGATTCTAGATGGATCTGGCAGATCCTAAAACAGCACAGAGCACAGAGCATAGGAAATAAACAAGACAAACTCCAACTTTTAGCACAACACCACAAATATGATATCATAGGCATCACCGAAACCTGATGGGATGACTCCTATTGCTGGAATGTAGACATCGAGGGCTATAACCTCTTTCACAGAAACCGAACAAAGGGGAGAGGAGGCGGAGTAGCCTTATATGTCAAAAACTGTAACGCTGCAGAAGAGATGCAAGACAGGAATCCGGGAAACCAGCTTGAAAGCATCTGGATAAGATTCAAGGGAACTGAGACTCAAAAAGATCTTGTTGTAGGCGTCTACTACAGACCTCCAAGCCAGGAGGAAGAACTTGATGAAGTCTTCTGCCAACAGTTGACCAAACAGGCACAGAGAAGTGATGTAGTAGTCATGGGCGATTTCAACTATCCCGATATTTGCTGGAAAACAAACTCGGCCAAGAGTACAAGGTCCAACAAATTCCTCGCTTGCCATGCAGACAATTTCATGGTCCAGAAGGTAGAAGAGGCAGCAAGGGGATTGGCTACTCTTGATCTCATCCTAACAAATGCGGAGGACCTGATCGATGCGGTTGAAGTGGTCGGATCCTTAGGGGCAAGTGACCATGTGCTCCTGCAATTTGAGGTACAAAGGAAGGCCGAAACTAAGACAAGTCAAACTTTTGGACTTTAAGAGAGCTGATTTCCGAAAAAAGAAGGAAACACTGAGTAGCATTCCGTGGACACAGATACTAAAAGACAAGAGACCTCATGGGCCATCCAGTCCAACCCCCTGCCAAGAAGCAGGAATGTTGCATTTAAATCACCCCTGACAGATGGCCATCCAGCCTCTGTTTAAAAGCTTCCAAAGAAGGAGCCTCCGGGCAGAGAGTTCCACTGCTGAACGGCTCTCACAGTCAGGAAGTTCTTCCTCATGTTCAGATGGAATCTCTCTTTCTTGTAGTTTGAAGCCATTGTTCCATTGCGTCCTAGTCTCCAAGGAAGCAGAAAACAAGCTTGCTCCCTCCTCCCTGTGGCTTCCTCTCACATCTTTATACATGGCTCTCATATCTCCTCTCAGCCTTCTCTTCTTCAGGCTAAACATGCCCAGCTCCTTAAGCCGCTCCTCATAGGGCTTGTTCTCCAGACCCTTGATCATTTTAGTCGCCCTCCTCTGGACACATTCCAGCTTGTCAGTATCTCTTTTGAATTGTGGTGGCCAGAATTGGACACAATATTCCAGGTGTGGTCTAACCAGAGCGGAATAGAGGGGTAGCATTACTTCCCTAGATCTAGACACTATGCTCCTATTGATGCAGGCCAAAATCCCATTGGCTTTTTTTGCCGCCACATCACATTGTTGGCTCATGTTTAACTTGTTGTCCACAAGGACTCCAAGATCTTTTTCATACGTACTGCTCTCGAGCCAGGCACTGTCCCCCATTCTGTATCTCTGCATTTCATTTTTCCTGCCAAAGTGGAGTATCTTGCATTTGTCCCCGTTGAACTTCATTTTGTTAGTTTTGGTCCATCTCTCTAATCTGTCAAGATAGTTTTGAATCCTGCTCCTGTCCTCTGGAGTATTGGCTATCCCTCCCAATTTGGTGTCATCTGAAAATATCCTGCGTTTACACAAAATGAAAGGACAGCAATGAAGAGTGGAATCAAAGCTCGATGACAGACCCTCAGTCACTTAAGTGTCCACTTGCTGTGCAAACGAATGACTCTAAGTTACATGGACGGCGATCAAAATGACCAAGACAGCTATGGGATCCTCTAACTGTGGGTAAGCAGCCAAATCGGGTCTGGCGAAGGAGAGGAAAGCAGAAGAATGAACTTTTCGAAAGGCAGCATAAAAGATCTGTAAGGACAGAGCTAATCAGCCCCAGTTTGGGTGCCATTCGTCAACGGGGAGAGCAGTTGTTCTTTAAAACATAAGCTCTAAGCGATGAGCCGGCAGCGTTGGGGGAGGAAAAGGATGCATGTTAACCTTTAAAAAATGTACACTCGCGAGGGCCCGGAATCTAATAATTGAAATCAAAAGCAACGGCGTGCTTCATTCCGGTGAGCGAGCAACTTGTGACATTTACGCAGGTCCATTTCCTGCATCTTCTGGAGCAGGGAGGGTGGGGAAGGGAGTTAATCTGGCATTTTCAGGGCCAGATTAATTATGCCTTCGCCTGTAATTGCACGCCAGACCAGCTCACTGAGCAAGCGTAGCCTTTCATCAGGAAGAAAGTCCTCACCGAGGATGGACTCAAAGATCGTTTGACGTCTCAAAAGGAGGAGGAGTTCTGTATCAGATATGCTTTCCATGGGTAGCTCTTGCCTCTCCCAGACCAGTGCCCATGAAATGCTAAGTATGCCAAGTAGACAGGCAAGAGAGAGAGAGAGAGAGAAAGGTAAAGCTCACTCACACTGATCGATGATAACTCTCTCCATGTTTTCTTTCAGTTGGTTGGTGGAGTGCAAGCGCTTGACAGTGCTGTGCAGCTTCTTTTCCTGCTCGGTCAGCTTCCGACGGAGTTTGTGCAACTCAGTTCGCATGGCTTCATCCTGCGGCGCAAGGAGGAGAAAACCGGTTACGTGGATGAGCTCTCAGCAGCCCAACCACCGCTGCATGCACCCCCATAGCATATCTGTTAGGGGAAAACTACCCTAGATATAGCAGAGCGTCCAAAAACAAAAAACAGGATACAGAAGTTGAGCAACCGCTCACAGCTAGCAAAGTGTGAAGTGCCGTGTGATGTGGCTGTAAGGAATTCAGAGTTTAGAAGACATCTTTAAAAATCACAAAAGGTTTATTTACAACTAGCTGTACCTGACCACTTGAGCAGGGACTACTTGACAAGAGACCACTATGACCAGGGACCACTTTGACCAGGGACCACTTGACCAGAGACCACTTTGACCAGGGACCACTTGACAAGAGACCACGGACCACTATGACCAGGGACTACTTGACCAGAGACGACTTTGAGCAGAGACCACTTGAGCAGGAACCACTTTGACCAGGGACCACTTGACAAGAGACCACTGTGACCAGGGACTATTTGACCAGGGACCACTTTGAGCAGGGACCACTTGACCAGAGATCACTTTGACCAGGGACCACTTGACCAGGGACTACTTGACGAGAGACCACTGTTATCAGGAACCATTTCACCAGGGACCCCTTGACCAGAAACTACTTGATGAGAGACCACTGTAACCAGGGACCACTTGAGCAGGGACCACTTGACCAGAGACTACTTGACCAGAGACCACTTTGACCAGGGACCACTTGACCAGGAACTACTTGATGAGAGACCATTGTGACCAGGGACCACTTTGACCAGGGACCACTAGAAGCCGGGACCACTTTGACAAGGGACCACTTTGACCAGGGACTACTTGACCAGGGGCACTTACTAGAGACCACTTGACAAGGGACGACTTGATGAGAGATCTTTGTGACTAGGGACCACTTCACCAGGAACCACTTTGCCCAGATACCACTTTGATCAGAGACCACTTGACCAGAGACCACTTTGACCAGGGACCACTCTCCAACATTACTACCAAAAATGCTTACAAATGAGTTTTTGGTAAGCTTTAGATTTGGTTTGGTTATTTGGGGTGCTGACTCAGAAAACTGCATTGGATAGACCACATCAGCTCTAGTTTCTGATACAGAACATATGGCATCCGGTAAGCGGCATCTGCTCGCCCACAGAAAATCATATTTAATAATCTAGAGCTGATGAGGTAGTAGTAATCTTTCGTGGGTTGTCAGCCTCCCGACATCCCCGTTGCCTCGGCACTATAAGAGGGTTTCGTGAGAGCAATTGCTCTCATTACCACGTGGTTTCGCGGCAATGGTGTAATAATTGTGAGGCCACGGACCATATTTTCGTTCTTGTGAACCACTGGTGGTCCCTGGACAACTGGTTTAGAGCACTGGCTTTAAGTCCTTCCAAGGTGCATCCAACTCACTAGGTATTGCTTCAGATTCACCTTCTTCCCCTGAACGTACGTACCTGAAGTGAGTAAGCGGCACTGTGGACCACCTTCATGGGCAAAGAGACTCTCCAGTACAGCTTCACAAGGCAGGCGGCTTCCTCCAAGTTGTGCCGGAGGGCACCAAGGGCCGCTGAAATCTTGCCCAGAGGCGCCTGGTATGGGAACAAACATGGTGGGAGTTTTACAAGACGACAACACGCATTGGGAGCAAAAGAATTTGGCGCCTTATCCGTAAAAAATTGAGATTATTTTTAAAAGCGAGGCTTTAATTAAGGACATAAATCCAATTTGCAATCCATTCAAGTTCCAGGTTGATGAGCAAGTGTATTCTCTGCTTGGCAAACTTAATTTGTTAGGTTAAAAAGGCAGCTGAATTATGTATTATTCGAGTGCGGGAGCGGGTGACGGCCGGGAAGAACGGGGACGGAGCCTAATCAATAAGAGTAATTAATAATGGGTTAGGTTTACTACACTGGCCAGGGCCACTCGCAAAAAAAGAAAGAAAGAAAGGCTTTTCCCCCTTTTGCCAATTTGCATTTCGCGGCATGCGATTTGAAAGTCAAATGACTCCCGACATTAATTTAGGCAATATGGATGTTTCTCCCTTTACGACAGCTCCATTTAATGGCAAATGAACTATCGGGGGCCAAGGCAAAGTGTTTTCTTCTGCAGACAGATGAGGAAACAAATGGAGGCAGCTGCCGACATGAAGAACGAGGAGGAGGCCGCAAAGGGAGAGAAGATGGACCGGAATAAGGGGAGGCGAAGAGAGAGGGCTATGGGCAGAAGGGATGCGAGCACTTACTGTAAATAGAAGCATCCCATTCCTCCCCCAAAAGAAAGCAAACAGAAACATTTACACAGGAAAACGTATTGCCTTTAAACCATACTCCCAAGAAACAAAGTAACCAGTCTTCTTTAAAAGTAGCAGAGTTGGTTTACTCACAAAGCTTCATGTACACAGCATAGAGGGACTTTGCTTAGGAATGCAGTTATAATAGGATTTTAAGTACTATATATACGCGAGTATAAGCTGGTCTGAATATAAGCTGAGCCACCTAGTTTTACCACACACAAAATTGGGGAAACATATTGACTCAAGTATAACCCGAGGGTGGGAAATGCAGCAGCTACTGGTCAATTTCAAATTAAAATTAGATACCAATAAAATTACATTAATTGAGGCATTGGGAGGTTAAATGTTTCTGAATATTTACATAAAATTGTAATTTAAGAAAACACGGTCCAACTCCGATTCAGCCATTATTCTCACCTGCTTCAATGTAAATGTCCTTACATATCCTTGCAATAATAGAGTAAAATACTAAATGTAATAATAATAATAATAATAATAATAATAGAGTAAAATAAAGGAAATGTAATAATGACAGTAATAAGAGTAAAATTAATGTAATAATAGAGTAAAATAATAAATGTAATAATAATAGAGTACAAAAATAAATGTAATAATGACAGTAATAAGAGTAAAAGAAAAATGTAATAAATTATAATTATAAAGTGAAATAATAAACATAATAATAATAGAGTAAAAGAATAAATGTAATAATAACAATAAATAGAATAAAATAATGGGAATGTAATACCAGTAATAATAGAGTTATAGTAATGCAATAATAATGTATTAATAACAATGTAGTAATAGTAATGTAATAACACCAGAGGCACTCCAAGTGTCCAGTTACTGGTCAAAGGACATTTAATCAACTACCAAGCTTGCAAACTTTGTGTTTTGTTCATTTGTTTGTTTGCTTGTTTGTTTAAAAATGCAATACAACTGTTTGGTCTGCTCCTGACATGATAAATAAATGTAATAATAATAATAGTAACCTAATAATAAAGAGTAAAAAAAAGTAATAATAATAAATAGAATAAAAGAATAAATGTAATAACAATAAATAGAGTAAAATAATGGAAATGTAATAATAGTAATAATAGAGTAATAGTAATTATTACATTTCCAACATCTATGAGGATGTCTACCATGGATGCAGACAAAATGTAAGGAGAGACTGCTTCAGGAACATGGCCATACAGCCAGAAAGCACACAACAACCCAGTGATTCCGGCCATGAAAGCCTTCAACAATACACTAAGGAATCGTTTGGACAATTCATGCGGGTGGCTATTTACCGTCACTCCAGGCTCCTGAAGTAAAGGGTCTTTCAGAGGGAGCTCCAACTCCAACAACAGCTTCCGCCCTTCCGAGACATACCTCCGCAACGAGTTGTGATCTTCCACCCGGCCGAGGACGTGGCGCCCGTTTCTGTCCGCCCAAACGCAATGGCGGGAGGAAGGGGACGGGTCACGGGACTTGCAGGAGGAGGAGGAGGAGCAGCCAGAGGAGCCGCCCAAACCTTCCAGAGCCAACTCCGTATCTGCGGCATAAGAGGAACAGCCTCCAGTTGCTTTTCACCAAATATCTCCGCACATTTGCAACACCTTTCCTGCATCACCCTGTTTGCTCCACTGTATGTCCCCAATCCTCCCATACATCTCGCTCTCCTTTCCGCTCCATGACGCTAAGCCAGGTTCTATCCCAGCAATGGGCAAACTTTGGCCCTCCAGGTTATTTATTGATTTATTGACCTCTGAGTGTCCGCTCAAAGGCACAAAAGCAAATAATAAGGCGTGCTACCTCAGTCAGCTCCACAGCCCGGAATGGCTCTTATCTTTTATTGCAATTTACAATATTTACAAGAGCAGAAGAAAATACGTCCATTCTCTTAGCTGTACATTACACTATGTACAAGAGCATAATAAAATACGTTCTCTTAGCTCTTAACTGGAAGTTGGAACCACATGGCAATCTGATTTCTGTGGAATGTAAACCCGTTACCGGAACACTCCAAAGTTACGCTCTAGGAATCAAGCACAGCTCTGTGCATTCCACTCTTACACTGCATTGCTACGCCACACAGTTTAAACTATTACAATATTTGGATTTTTGTAGGTTTTTCGTGCGATATGGCCATGTTCTAGAAGCATTCTCTCCTGACATTTTGCCTGCATCTATGGCAAGCATCCTCTAGAACATGGCCATATAGCCCGAAAAACCTACAACCCAGTGATTCCAGCCATGTAAGCCTTTGACAATACATTACAATATTTCATTACATTTAAACCACCATATTCTAACATTTTGGACTTCAACTCCCACAATTCCTAACAACCTTCATTGCCGTACCTGCTTTGAATGGTGCTTTAGAATCGCCGTACCGCTGTTGCAACTCCAGGACGTTGCTGTCTGCATTGGGGAACTTCAATTCTACAGATTAAAAAAAAGAAAACAGGTATTGAAAATGTTTTGTTGTCTGTATGATGCCTCCTGTAGTCACCCAATTTTGCCGCAAATGCAAAGGCTTAATTATCTTGACCCCATCATTGGTTTCCCTTTCTCCACTCTTTCAAAAAAAAAAAAAAATCAAGGAAGTTCCTAGATTCCATCATCAACTGTGGTGTTCCAGTTGTCTGGACTCAAATTCCTATTAGCCTTAGTTTTACTGGCCAATAGTGAGGGACTAGTGCAGGCATGGCCTAAAGTTCTAACTTGGGGGCCACATGGTGGGTTGGAGCGGGGTGGGTGGGCCGGGAGGGAGGGGTTTCTCCCCAAGTCCCCACCCCCACCCTTTCCTTTTCTCTTTTGGAAGGCACAATCAAAGCATTCCTGACAGACAGCCTCCGTGGAAAAGCCTCCAGAGAAGGAGACTCCACCACACTCTCCAGGAAGTTCTTCCTGATCTTTCCAGTTGAATCTCTTTCCCTGCCATTTGAAGCCATTGCTCTCTTGTGCCCTGGTCTCTAGAGCAGCAGAAAGTCAGTTTTCCCCCTCCTTCTCATCAGTGGGACAGCCTTTGAAATCTTGGAACATGGTTCTCGTGTTCCCTCTCTACCTTCTCTTCTCCCAGCTAAACATCCTCCAGGAGGAAATGAGGAAGGAAAAGGGGAAGGAAGGGAGGAAGAGAAGGATGGAAGGAAGGGAGGGACTAGAAAGAGAGAGAGGTAAGGATGGAGGAAAGAAAGATGGAAGAGTGGAAGGGAGGAAACAGAAGGAAGGAAGAGAAGGAGGGAGGGAAGGCAGGCAGGCAGGAAGAGAGAAAAAAGAGAGAGGGAAGGAGGGAGGAAAGAGGGAAGGGGAAGGAAAGGAAGGAGAAAGGGGAGTAAGGGAGGGAGGGAAGGAGTAAGGAAAGAGAGAAGGAAGGATGGAAGGAAGAGTGAAAGGGAGGAAACAGAGAAGGAAGGAAAGACAAAAAGGAAGGGAGGGAGGGAGGGAAGGGAGAGAGGCAGGGAAGGAAGGAGAAAGAAAGGGAAGGAGGGAGGAACGAGAGAAGGGCAAAGGGGAAGGAAAAGGAGAAAGGAGGTAAAGAAGGAGGAAGGGAGGGAAGGAGGAAGGAAAGAGAGAGAAGGAAGAGTGGAAGGGAGGAAACAAAGGAAGAAAGAAAAGAAGGGAGGAGGGAAGGAGAGAGGGAGGGAAGAGGAGGGAAGGAAAAGAGAAAGAAAGGGAAGGAGGGAGGAAAGAGAAAGGGGAGGGTGAAGGAAAGGGAGAAAGAGGGAGGTAAGGAAGGGAGGGAAGGAGAAAGGAAAGAGAGATGGAAGGAAGAGTGGAAGGGAGGAAACAAAGGAAAGAAAGACAAAAGGAAGGGAGGGAGGGAGAAACAGTGGGAAGAAGGGAGGAAAGAGGGAAGGTTGAAAGGGTGGAAGGAAAGGGAGGAGAGGGGAGGAAGTAGGAAGGCAGGCAAGCGGAAGAAAGAGAGGGAAGGAGGGATGAGAGAGGGAAGGATGAAAGAGTGGAAGGAAAGGAAGGAGGGAGAAAGAGGGAGGTATGGAAGGAAGGAGAGGAGGAAGAAAAGAGAGAAGGAAGGAAGGACAAGATGGTGAAAGAGAGGAGGGCCTGATAAAAGAGCCCAAGAGGCCGCATCTGGCCCACAGGCTGGGTTTGCCCATACCTGGACTAGTGTATATACCTGCCATTGCCCCCTCCTTTCATCCCTTCTTTCTCTTTCCCTCCCCTCATACCTTTGCTCTTCCTTCTTTCCTTCCCTTTCTTCCTTCTCCTTTCCTTTCATACTTTTTCTCCTTCCTTCCTCCCATCCTTCCCCTCCCTTCTTCCCTCACACTCCCACTCTTTCTCTCCTCTTTTTTCCCCCCTCCCTCCCTCCCTCCCTCCCTCCCTTCTTTCTTTCCTTCCTCTATGCTGCAAATTTGATGTTGTCTTGCGTCCTGCATCCAAAATTTAACAGAACAGCAGTAAGGGATTTGTGGTTCACCGGATGTCATTGGGACTTCAACTCCCATCAGCCCCAGCCAGTGTCTCCAAACAGCAGCCAATCACGTTGGGGGTTAATCCAGTGCCTCCGAAGAAACATTTTCCCCTCCTTTCACTCATCCTCTGACTGACTTGAGGCCTGCTCCTTGAAAGGGAAAGCCCAAACAACCCGCAGCAGCACACCAGAACACATTAGCATAATTGCCAAGGAGGACAAATCAATTGTCAAAACAATCTGACAGCAAACATGTGAATTATTTCAGTTCTGTAGCTTAATATAAAGCAGAAATAAGTACGAACTAGTCCTTTTCTTTCACAAAAATTGCATTTTCAAGCAAACTAAATCTGGTTTTCAATTGTGAGCATTGCCCAAATGCAAGGCAACCGTCACCATACAACCCTCACCATAGCTAAGAATGTATGTATGTTTGTGACACAAAGGCTCCTACATGGCATGATGGATCAGGATCAAACTTGGTACACATACAGATCGTGATCCAACTTAAAATACTGGTGAGGAGTTGCAGTTAGGTAAATCAGGGGCTGATAGGAATCGCTGCCCATCAACTGGCCAATTTGGTAAAAGGCCCCATTATATGGGTCTGCAATTTCTAATTGGACCATTCATCTATACACATAATAAAAGTGAAAATGTGTGTGTGTGTGTGTGTGTGTGGTTGGGCTGTCCACTTACACAGACAGGCTCCTGCCTACACAAATTGCTATAGCTCCCACCACTCAAGAGACACCAATGGCCCTCCCTCCAATGACATTGCAGGTTATAGTGAGCGTCATGAACCTCTCCAAGAGCTCTGCCAATGTCCTCCACCCAAGTGAAGGCTTTCATATGGGGACAATGTCATCCTAGATTATATGTGTTTCCTCCACCACAGATATCCCAGTGTTTCTTATTTGCATGACTCCACCCACTGCCTCCCCCTTAACCCTTTCCTATTTTTTTCTATGGCACACAGCAAACAGAGGAATTGATCATCAACTCAACATACTAGAGAGGTTTGGAGAGAATTCACTGTGATTTATAGGAGTTATAGGTCCTGGGATGTACAGTTCACCTGCAATCTAAGAACTTCACTCTGAACTCCACCCATAATGGACCTGGAACTAACTTGGCACACAGAATCCCATGACCAACAAAGCATGGAGGGATTTATAGGAGTTGTAGTTCACCTACATACCGAGCGCACTATGAACCCAAACAATGATGGATCTGGACCAAACTTGGCATGCATACCCGATATGCCCATATTTGAATATTGGTGAGTTTTAGGGGGAATTTGTCTGGACATTTTGGGTGTTGTGGATACTGGGATTTATAGTTCACCTGCAATCTAAGAGCACTCTGAACTCCACCAAAGAGGGAATTGGACCAAACTTGGTACACAGAGTCAGAGAGCACATGTAATGATGCATCCAGAGCAGATTTACCCAACCAAAAAAAACTTTTTAAGTACAAATGGAGTTTCAGGGGTATAACCTGGCATGATGTGAGTTGTAGTTCACCAGCAAACTTCTCAAATAATCTGGGCAACTAGCAAGTACCCAAGCTAGTAAAATCTGAAAGCAAAAATGCTATTTATTACAAAGTATTTGTAACAAATAGCATTACAAACCTGGGAAATGCTGGGTATATGTCTTAGATTGCAAAAAAAGCCACCATGGCCATCTGTCAGGAGTGCTTTGATTGTGCCTTCCTGCACAGCAGGGGGTGGGACTGGATAGCCTTGGGGTATCTCTAGGATTCTATGCTTCCTGCACTTACAAGCCCATTGCTTTCCATCTGCGTTCGCCTCAGCTTTACTCAACAAGGTCAAAAGTACACGTTCAACCCAACAGAACGGTTTGTTTGTGTGCTGAGCTTGGGGCTGCACACTGTTCAGGAGCATGGCAATGCTCTGGATGTTGGATCCACGTGGCGTGCGGACACGTCTGTTTTCAGCCGCCGGAGCTGGAGGCCTTCATTCAAGAGCGATGCAAATCAAAAAGGGGGGGGCATTCCTCTCGGGCACTGAATTTATTCTGCTGATTTATTCGCAGACCGTTCTAAAGCACAGATCGATCGCTCCTGAGCAAAGTGCACTCGCCTGTAGCCAGCTGCACCGGCGCATCCAACCAACTATTTGGGTAAGCAAAGACATACAGGGATTTAGTCTACTGTATATACGAGGGTTGAATGAAAAGTAATGCCTCCACCTTCGTTACTTGGGTTTGGATGGGAATATTTTAATAAATCAAACACAAAATAATCCTTAGAACAGCCTTTCTCAACCTGGGAGTCAGGACCCCTCGGGGTTGCGAGGAGGTGTCATAGGGGTTACCAATGACCATCAGATTTTCTGTTGGTCATAGCATAGTGGGAAGTTTGGCCCAATTCTATCGTTGGTGGAGTTCAAAATACTCTTTGACTGTAGGTGAACTATAAATCCCAGCAAATTCAACTCCCAAATGTCAAGGTCTATTTTCCTCAAGCTTCACCAGTGTTTACATTTCAGCATATTGAGTATGAATGCCAAGTTTGGTCCAGATCCATCATTGTTTGAGTCCACAGTGCTCTCTGGATGTAGGTGAACTACAACTCCAAAAGTCAAGGTCAATGCCCACCTAACCTTTCCAGTATTTTCTGTTGGTCATTGGAGTTCTGTGTGCGAAGTTTGGTTCAATTCTATCGTAGGTGGAGTTCAGAATGCTCTTTGATTGTAGGTGAACTACAAATCCCAGCAACTACAACTTCCAAATGCAAAATCAATATCCCCCCAACCCTACCAGTATTGAAATGTATGTATTTATTTATTTATTTAGAGCTTTTGTATACTGGTCTTCTCACCTCCGTAGAGGGACTCAGGCCGGTTTCCAACAACAGTATCACAAACAATCATTTAAAAACATCACATTCCGTATTGCACTAAAACATTAAAATACCAAAAATACAATCATATAATTACAATGGCCAAGTCATCACAATAAAATCATTGTTCATCACCATCCATCCATCCATTTGGGCGTATCAGGCATTTGTGCCAGATTTTATCCCGTGAATTAAAATCCACCCTGTATATCAAATGCTCTTTAACTACCACTATTCACTTTTCCACATAATCACCAGACAATTGGATACATTTCTGCCAATAATGAACAAGTTTTCCGAATCCGTCACAGAAGAAGTCGACACTCTTTTTCCACAACTAGCATCTCATGGTTCTCTCATCCTGTGTACCCATTGTGCACAGATCTTCCGACAGCCAAGCAAAGCAATAATGTGACCCACACGTTCTTGTGAAATGCCGATTATGCTTGAAATTTCTGAGTGATACAATGATTGTCCTGAATCAATCTGTCAACCTTTTGCTTGTGGTTGCTGTCACAGGACGTCCAACTCTTTGTTTGCCACGCAAGTCAGATGTTCCCACCTCAACATCTTTAAACTTACTCTCCCAATGACTTACAGTACTCTCATCAACACAATCACCATAAACAGCTTGCATTCTCTGATGAATCTCCTTTGGGGTGCTYTCAAGAATTCAATGACTGCACYTTGCTTAAGTKGCATTGACCGACCGTCTTKKCAGTGTTCCATACTTTGCATTTTAACAACACAACTGTTCAATGCTAAGGCTTCCTGCCAAAATGGAACTGTAGAGGCGAGTCTACTGAACAAGCCAGTACCTGCCGCATACCAGTACTGCCATCTGTTGAGGAGTTACGAAGGTGAAGGCATTACTTTTCATGCAACCCTCGTAGGTGAAAGAATAAATTAATGCAGTTCACGCAATGAGCATTGCTTGAGAGGACCAGCCGATAAGCRTTGGCCTCCTCCAAGCCTTGCCAGGTCCACCTCCCCCAATTCCTCATCACTCTCTTGACGCAGCCATTGCCTGGTGAATAGGAGCACTTTCCGCAGCCGCTTCCTGTTTGCAGGGAACAAGGCCTCTGCTTGTCTTCCCCTCCTGCGTACAAACTTCTCCATACTTCACACTTTAACAACACAACCAATGTTAAGGCTTCCCATCAAAATGGAACTGTAGAGGAGAGTCTACTGAACAAGCCAGTACATGCCGCATACCAGTACTGCCATCTGTTGAGGAGTTATGAAGGTGGAGGCATTACTTTTCATTCAACACTCGTACTCATGTATAAGTCGACCTCGTGTATAAGTCAAGGGGATACAATGGGGTTTTAAAAACTGCCCCTGGGATCTTGGAGTCTCAGTAGACCACAAACTGAGCATCAGTCAACAGTGTGATGCGGCAACTTAAAGGGCCAATGCAATTCAATATATTATAATATAGTGGTATAATACAATATATATTATATTATATTATATTATATTATAATATATTATATTATATTACAATATAATATAATATAATATAATATTATAATATAATATAATATATATTATATTATATTATGGTATAGTATAATATAATACTATTATATTGTATAGTACAATATAATACAATATATAGTACATATAATACTAATATTGTGCTGTGCTAATAATATAATATAATATAATATAATATAATATAATATAATATAATATTATAATATAATATAATATAATATATATTGTAATGTAATACAATAATACTAATAATAATACAATATAATATTTATATATTTTATAATACGTGTAATATTACTAATAATATTACCGTTTATCCCCATGTAATGCTGCAATTCTTGCTGGAAAAGGCAGCTGATATTCACAGCTGACCCCAAGCTGCCGGTCCCTCTCTTTCCGCTTGAAGACCGTTCTTCGAGTTTCTCATGCAACATCTTGTTTGCCTTGATGCTCATTTCAAGCTGTGCTCTCAAGTTCTGTATTTCCGCCAGGAGTTCGTGCAAGTCTGGTGGCTGGTTTTGCTCTTTCCGGCATTCGTCGGCTGCGTCGCGGCGGCAATCTGAGGAAGTTTGTTTACTACTGTAAATAATTAAAAGGGCTCCGGACACTCCCAGGCTCTGCAATAAAATTCCCCTCATCTTAATCAGCTGACTGAACCACAACAGTGACTTTCCCAATGGGTTCCTATGGCTGAGCGAGAGTCGAACCCTGGTCTATAACGTCATTTATTTATTTTTTTACTTACAGTATTTATATTCCGCCTTTCTCACCCCGCAGGGGACTCAATGCGGAATATATACATGGCAAACATTCAATACCATTAGACATACAATATATATAGACAGACACAGAAGCAATTTAACATTCCAGCTTTCCAGCTTCATGAGGATATGCTCAATTCCGGCCACAGGGGGAGCTTCTGCTTCACTGTCCACTTGTGACACCGAGTCCTTGATGGAGTACTTCCTTATTCTTATGCACGCTGCTGGAAGGTTTTATGGTGTGGTAAATTAGTTAAATTAGCTTCCCCGCATAAAGCAGTACCTAAATTTCCTACTTGACAGATGCAATTGTCTTTCGGGCTGCATAGGTGAACAGCAAGCTAGACTATTAATGATCAGGAGCTCACTGGACTGGCTGTGAAGGCATGGCATCTTGGTAAGGAGTGATTTAATGCAGCTGGCTACTAACTCAATTATATATTTTGGGATAAGCCTGATAGTAATCTTGTCAGCGCAGATTGTGTTTAAGTGCAGGCCAAGATCCTTAGGCACTGCACCCAATGTGCCGATCACCACTAGGACCACTTTTACTGGTTTGTGCCAGAGTCTTTGTAGTTCGATCTTAAATCCTTATTATTATTATTATTATTATTATTATTATTATTATTATTATTAGCCGCTCTGAGTCCCCTTCAGGGTGAGAAGGATGTGTTGTCTATTGTTGTGTCAATATTGTATATTATGCTTTTATGGTTTTAAATTGTATATCGTTGATTGATTCTTATCCTTGTTGTAAACCGCGTTGAGTCGCCTGTTGGGCTGAGAAACTGCGGTATACAAGTAAAGTAAAGTAAAGTAAATAAATAAATAAATATAAATGCCGTAAATAAATAAATAAATAAAAATAAACTAGCTGCACCACAGCCCGGTCATAGCCCAACGCTTTGTTAACTCTAGATTTGAACCCAGTACCCATCTAAGAATTGTACATCAAACGTAACCAAAAGCTTTTGTGCCATTCATTTACAGAAACCATTACGCATTTGTACCAGAAGAGTTTAAGCCTGTTAAATAAACCTTTTATTATAGTTAACACATTACAACAGCATTTGCTGTTTAAAAACATAGCACAACTTTTTTAAAAGCCTGGCAACGCTAAACACAACCGAAGATCAGGAAGCCAGAAGAAAAAAAAATGTATGAAGCAAAGGCTTAGAAATTATGCATATTTCCCTTATATTGAGAAAGAAATCCTAGGATGCAGCGACAAGAGTTTTCCGGCTATTTTAATGGCGAAAAAAGCCAATAATAAAATAAAACACACAACCTACCAGCCCCATTGAAAGCTCTATCGCTGCAGTATATTTAAAAATAAATGTTCTTCAAGTTAAAAAAACAAAGTTTTTAACTCGCTGGCAGAAATAGAGCTGGGAGGAGGATGGAAAGGGCGATGGAACGGAGACAAAGCCCTCCCCTGAAGATCTGAAAGCGCATGCCGGTTCATGCTGGGAGATGCGGCCTTTCAAGGAAGCTGGACCGGAGCAGCACAGGGCTTCACAGCCAGCACTTTGAATTCTGCTTTGAGGGGAGGATGGAAGAGAATTTCCCCATCTCTGCCCTTTCCTTCCCCCTTTTCTCCCACTTTGAAGTCTCCTATTTTTCATTTGTGAAAAATGAAAACACACCCCAGGGGATGTAGCTAAGAAGGCAGCCCAAAAGCAGCCGATGCACCCCAATAACTGCAGAAACCATGTGTCTTCTAGGCTCAACGGTGTCCCCTTGGGAGGAAATATCAAAGGGGTAGAGCAATTCTTTTTGGGGGAACAATGACTTCCTTTGGACTCGCATAGCGTTTTGAGGTCCGCATGCTTCTCATGACACCGGTTGGCCCTCGCTTGGTACCTGCTTGGCTTCTGGTTGCTTCGTCCAACTTCTCGTAGACTCTGAGCTCCAGCCGCAAAGAATGCAGCAAGTCGTCATTCTCCAAGAGCTGGGACTTGTTGGCGTTCAGCTCCATCTGCACCCTGCAATGAGACCCCCAAACGGATTAGTAGGAAACGTTTAAATCTTCTAAACCTAGAGTTGGAAGTGACCCCTCCCCAAGGGCCATCCAGTCCAACCCCCTTCTGTCAGGAGGGGGAAACAACCAAAGCCCTCCTGACAGAGAGACAACCAGCCTCTGCTTCAAAAGCTCCAGAGAAGGAAACTCCACTGGACTCAAGAGACCGCATATTCCATTGATGGACAGCTCTGGCCATTCTTTCTAACTTTTAAATATGCTAGCAGTTCGAAAAAATGCAAATGTGAGTAGATCAATAGGTACCACTCCGACGGGAAGGCAACAGCGCTCCATGCAGTCCTGCCGGCCACGTGACCTTGGAGGTGTCTATGGACAACACTGGCTCTTCGGCTTATTTATTTATGACATTTATATGCCGCCCTTCTCACCCTGAAGGGGACTCAGAGAGGCTTACAAGATATATATTCATACAATATATTATATTATTAGCATAGTACAATATCAGTATTATATGTGAGTAGATCAATAGGTACCACTCCGAGGGGACGGCAACAGCGCTCCATGCAGTCACGCCGGCCACATGACTTTGGAGGTGTCTATGGACAACGCCGGCTCTTCGGCTTATTTATTTATGACATTTATATGCCGCCCTTCTCACCCTGAAGGGGACTCAGAGAGGCTTACAAGATATATATTCATACAATATATTATATTATTAGCATAGTACAATATCAGTATTATATGTGAGTAGATCAATAGGTACCACTCCGAGGGGACGGCAACAGCGCTCCATGCAGTCACGCCGGCCACATGACTTTGGAGGTGTCTATGGACAACGCCGGCTCTTCGGCTTATTTATTTATTTATTTGTGACATTTATATGCCACCCTTCTCACCCCGAAGGGGACTCAGAGAGGTTTACAAGATATATATATATACAATATATTATATTTTTAGCATAGTACAGTATCAGTATTATATGTGAGTGGATCAGTAGGTACCGCTTTGGCAGGAAGGTAACAGCGCTCCATGCAGTCATGCTGGCCACATGACTTTGGAGGCGTCTTTGGACAACGCTGGCTCTTCGGCTTATTTCTTTATTTATTTACGGCATTTATATGCTGCCTTTCTCACCCCGAAGGGGACTCAGAGCGGCTTACAAGATATATATATATACATACAATATATTATATTATTAGTATAGTACAATAACAGTATTATATATTACTATATTGTACTATACCATTGTATTGTAATATTATTAGTATTACATGTACTAAAATTATATAATTATAATATTGTATTATTATTATTATATTGTATTACATTATAAAATTATAAATATTATATGTATATACAATATATTATATTATATTATATTATATTATATTATATTATATTATTAGCACAGCACAGGAGGCAAGGTGGAACTGTCTTCCTGGCTCCCTCTCTCTTCACTCTGGCCCAGAACAGCAGTTGGAGCTGGGGAGAGGGGTCCCCAACTGATGACATAGGAAGGAGACAAGGTGGAACTGTCCCCTGGCCCCCTCTCTCTTCACTCTGGCCCAGAGCAGCAGTTGAAGCTGGAGGAAGGGGTCCCCAACTGATGACATAGGCAGGAGACAAGGTGGAACTGTCCCCTGGCCCCCTCTCTCTTCACTCTGGCCCAGAGCAGCAGTTGAAGCTGGAGGAAGGGGTCCCCAACTGATGACATAGGCAGGAGACAAGGTGGAACTGTCCCCTGGCCCCCTCTCTCTTCACTCTGGCCCAGAGCAGCAGTTGAAGCTGGAGGAAGGGGTCCCCAACTGATGACATAGGCAGGAGACAAGGTGGAACTGTCCCCTGGCCCCCTCTCTCTTCACTCTGGCCCAGAGCAGCAGTTGAAGCTGGAGGAAGGGGTCCCCAACTGATGACATAGGCAGGAGACAAGGTGGAACTGTCCCCTGGCCCCCTCTCTCTTCACTCTGGCCCAGAGCAGCAGTTGAAGCTGGAGGAAGGGGTCCCCAACTGATGACATAGGCAGGAGACAAGGTGGAGCTGTCCCCTGGCCCCCTCTCTCTTTACTCTGTCCCAGAGCAGCAGTTGGAGCTGGGGAGAGGGGTCCCCAACTGATGACATAGGCAGGAGACAAGGTGAGCTGTCCCCTGGCCCCCTCTCTCTTCACTCTGGCTCAGAGTAGCAGTTGGAGCTAGGGAGAGGGGTCCCCAACTGATGACACAGGCAGGAGACAAGGTGGAACTGTCCCCTGCCCACCCCCTCTCTCTCCATTCTGGCCCAGAGCAGTAGTTGGTGCTGGAGGGAAGGGTTCCCAACTGATAGCATAGGAAGGAAACAAGGTGGAGCTGTCCCCTGCCCCCCCCCCCAGCCCAGAGCAGTAGTTGGTGCTGGGAGAGGGGTCCCCAACTGATGACATATGCAGGAGACAAGGTGGAGCTGTCTCCTGGCCCCCTCTCTCTTTACTCTGACCCAGAGCAGCAGTTGGTGCTTAGAAATGTAGATGAACACCAATCCCCAGAGTCAGACACAACTAGACTTAATGTCAGGGGAAAACCTTTATTTACCTTTACCTAGTTGCAACTATTCTTGCATTCCCATCTCACAGCATATTTTTGGACATTTTTGGTCTTTTCTGGAGGTCTCCAGGAAGAGCAACCTTTTAAAACGACGCAATCCTCCCATTAATCATGTGCACAGCAGGTTAACCACCAGCTGCAATAAATCCTGCCAATCGAAGAGTTGGAAGTTCGAAGCCCGGGTTGGGAGTAAGTGCCCGACCTTCCGCCCAGCTCACTGCCCATTTAGCAGATCGAAAACAGCTGTGAGTAAACCAATAGGTACCGCTTAGTGGGGAGGTGTTTTAATGGCATCATAAGGAAATACCGATTCGATCAAAACAGGAGGAAGTCTGTGAGCAGGGCTTTTCAAAATGGAGAATGGAGCAACAGCACCCCATGGCCAGAAACAAACACAACCTCCAAGACGCCGAAGATGGGAAAAGCCTATATACCTCTATCTGTACTGTTTTCTGTCCTGTTTGTGTTTAACAGTATTGGATGTTTGCCGTATGAGTTCTGTGATCCACCTTGAAGTCCTCTTCGGGGTGAAAAAGGTGGAATATAAATACTTTTTAAAATGTAATTTTGATGATTTTGCTTGTTGTTTATGTTTTTGGTTGTATTTTGCTGTAATACATTGTCTGGGCTTGGCCCCATGTAAGCTGCTCCGAGTCCCCATTAGGGAGATGGTGGCGGGGTATAAATAAAGATTATTATTATTATTATTATTATTATTATTATTATTATTATTATTACTGTAGATAAATGAATAAAGATTTACAAAAAGATTTTCCAAAACCAAAAGTGGATTTCCAACCACTTCCCGTCTTGTGTCCCTCTTTGGGTAGCTTTGGTAGCCAACAAATGCTTCCTGCTTTGAGTTTAGATACTCCAAAACCATCTTGTGGAGCTGGACCAGAGGGCGGGAAGAGGCTGAAATAAGGCTGCAGAGCAATACCTGTTCAATTCGTTCCGGACACTGTAAACCTCATCCGTCAGGCGGCCGTTTTCTTCCTCCCGTTTCCTGACTTCCTTCTGGAGTGTCTCGTTCTCCTTCCTGAGGCGTTCACAGTCCGCATGAAGCTGCTCCAAGGCCAGATGCTTCTTGGACAGAGATTCGCGTAACTTCTCATTCTCCTTCTGTTTGTCTACAAGGAGAAGAATTCAATTTTAATGGAATTGAATTTATATTTCATTCCATTGCCCTTGATGACATGTGGCCAGAAAAAGGACTGGCTTCTCTGGCTGCATTGAGATCCCTCCACACCAAGGCTTCCACTTTTCCACTTGCGACCCCTTTCCGTACGAGAAATTTTTACATGACCCGAGGCATATAAAGTAAGTGTTAAAATCAAAACATTTACTGATACTCAATCAGCATTTGCAAGGCTTGCCAAAGATGGTCAGTATTTACCTTTTTGCAGAGTTTTGCTGAAGCATATTTTGCAAAGTCTACTTGTAAACATGCCATGTTGTTGTTCACAGGTTTGTGTAAACGGGTGGCACTCAGAAACCTTTCCAGTGAAGCCAGTGAAGCTTTAAATGTCTGCATAATCTATTTTGTGCTTTATAGTTGGCCCAATAAAGCAAATTAAGAACTCTGACCCAAAAGCAAAGTGCTGGCTGCTGAAGCTGATAAACAACTGCACTGCATCCTGTCAGATCCCTAAAATCTGGAGGACAGCAAGAGTCAAAGCCACCTTGAAGCCAGGCAAAGAGCGCCATGACCCAGAACTTTGTATGCCAGAACTTTACTGAAACCAATAAGCATTTGTACCTGAATTATTCAAGCCTATTCAATAAACGTTCCTGTTATTTTTATCAACTTATACCAGCATCAGTGTGAATACCTTTGTGATCAAAGCATTATTTAAGTCAGCTTTTTAACAGCCTCTAAGAAAACTATAGTGACACAGAGTGGGTCACAGAACAACCTCTTGATACCTGAGCATGTTTATTCTTAATATGGTGGCAGCGGGTATCTTTTAAAGAATCATTTTTAGTCTCTCAGTTCCAGTGGTTCCCAGTTCCTAATTTCTAAATAGACAGTTGGCTCAGCAACCATACTCCCTCTATACTTTGGTGAGTTAGTCTGTAGTGGTGGTGTCATTGTTATAATTTGGTAGACTGCTGTATGGTCGTTATAATTTGGTGAAGCAGCGTTGGGATTTTTTAAATTATTGAATAAAGTTCCCTACTTTTCCTTAGTTCGTTATACCACCCTTCTCACCCCAAAGGGGACTCAGAGCAGCTTACAAGATATATACACATACAATATATTATATTATTAGCATATTACAATATCAATACTTTATATTACTATATTATACTATACCAATGGTTCTCAACTTTCCTAATGCCGCGACCCCTTAGTACAGTTCATGTTTTGGTGACCCGCAATCATAAAATTAATTTCGTTACCACTTCACAACTGTAATTTTGCTATTATTATGAATTATACTGTAAATATGCAGGATGTATTTCCATTCATTAGACCAAATTAAGCACAAATACCCAATACACCCAAATTTTAGTACTGGGGGGTGGTTGGAGGGGATTGATTTTGTCATTTGGGAGGTGTAGTCACTGGGATTTGTAGTTCACCTACAATGAAAGAGCATTCTGAACTCCATCAATGATGGAATTGAACCAAATTTAGTACACACAAGTCCCATAACCAGCAGAAAATACTGGAAGGGTTTGGTGGGCATTGACCTGGAGTTTTGGAGTTGTAGTTGACCTATATCCAGAGAGCACTGTGGACTCAAATAAATGATGAATCTGGACCAAATTTGGTACGGATACTCAATATGCCCAAACAACACTGGTGGAGTCTGGGGGAAATAGACCTTACATTTGGGAGTTGTAGTTGCTAGGATTTATAGTTCACCTACAATCAAAGAGCATTCCGAACCCCATCAACGATAGAATTGGGCCAAGCTTCTCACACGGAACCCCCATGTCCAATGAAAATACTGTATTTTCTTATGGTCTTTGGCGACCCCTCTGACACCCCCTCGCAACCCTCCCAGGGGTTTTGACCCCCAGGTTGAGAAACGCTATACTATACCATTGTATTGTAATATTATTAGTAATATTACATGTAATATAAAAATATATTATAATATCTTATTATTATCAGTATTATATTGCATTACATTATAATATTATAAATATTATTAAAAAGTAATAACCAATGTATGCAAACTTTATTTCATACACAATATAATTAAAAGTATTGTTTATTAAACTACCCTCAGGTTATGCATATAAGGCGTCTATGAAGCATCAATGGATTTGGTGTTTAGACTTGGGTCTCCTTTCCAAGATATCGCCTTACGTATGCATATACAAAATTTAAGAAAAACCCAAATCCCAAATACTTCTGGTCCCAAACATTTGGGATAAGGGATACTCAACCTGATGATGAATCTCACAAAGCTTTGAAGACTTTGCATCTTATTTTGTGCTTTTCAGTTGGTCCAACCGAAAGTATCACTGCTTTGCGGATGTTATTCAACTTATTGAAAAGCTGCTTGGCTTCATCTCTTTCCTTTTTTTAATAACATCCCCCATTCACCTGAAACCAAAGTGCCCAGGGAATCCAGGATCGACATTTTTTAAAATAAAAAATAATTAAACGCACAAAGATGCCAGAGAAGTAATAACCAAAATGAGAGGCTCCTCTGACGTTTACAATTTTGCATTCCAATTTTCCGCAGCTGCATTGAAAGAGAAACGTTATTTGAAAGAAACAGAAAGGGGGGGCTTCAACTCTGGCAATATCTCAGTTCCATAAAACTATAGTTAAGAAGAAGGCGGAAAGTGAAAAAGTGCTGTGACCTTTCCATATACTTAGAAAACTTATTGGGGATGGATGGATTCGCCTTTTTCTCCCCAGTCCACATCCATCTTATGTGTATGCAGTCACGGGTTTTATGTGATTTTTCAAAAGCAGGTGGGGAGAACATATTTGAATCATATGCAATTTCAATTTTTTGCACATATTTTCACCTTCTTTGCCACTGATTTGAATTGTTTCCATTTCAGAGAGGTTCCTGGGGCCACGTTTTCTACTTGTCATGAACTACAATGCATAGTTTGAATGGAATTGTATGAAAGATGTATGGTTGGGGTCTAGATAGTCTAACGATCCCATCCTAGAAAACTGAGGCCTAGAAAACTACAAGATGAGGAGATGAAGAATTCATGGGCTGTAATTAAAGGTTGCTGAACTGCTGACATTGATGACCAGTGACAATGATTAACTGTTGAACTTGTGGGGGGAAACAACGTGTTTACATTATCAGAGACATTGGCTCTTTAAGTTAAGGAAATGTTTACAAGGTTCCTTACGTTAAGAAGGAAGTCAACACAAGGCTCCTTACGTTTACCAACACCAATTAAGGAGAGTCATCATCTGCCAGGAACTGAGATGAAGCCAGGATGTTACAGTTTGGAGAAGCATCTATCACTAGCCATCCCCTGCCATGCGTTGCTGTGGCCGTCTGTGTATATGTGTTTTCTGTGTGTATATGTGTGTGTGTATGTATATATATGTGGTTCGGGACATGTATTGTAATGTATTTTTTTATTTTTTGGCCTTTTATGTCTCTTCCGCTGTGTTTTTCAGTGTTTTTATGGGTGATGATCACTCGTTGACCTGATAGGTGTATTGTGTCCAAATTTGGTGTCAATTTGTCCAGTGGTTTTTGAGTTATGTCAATCCCACAAACGTATATTACATTTTTATTTATATAGATTGAACAAAATCTGGCTACCAGTACCAGGCCCGTAGCCAGGATTTCGTTTCGGGGTGGGGGTGAATTTTTTTCAGGGGGGGGTTTCGGGGGGGGGGGGCTGCGTCTGAGTGAAAGAGGGTCTAGCCTAGCAAACCTTTTGTATCATTACCCCAATACCCCCATGCATATGGGATATATTGAGTATGGTGATCAGATCATGATATGAATAAACATAACAGTTTAAATAATGCACCAGTAAGGCCTTTTCGCGAACCACCATGAGAATTTCGGGGGGAGGGTGAAGCCCCTCAAGCCCCCCCCCCCCCCCCCCCTCCCCCCCCCCCCCCCCCCCGGCTACATGCCTGACCAGTACTAAAAAACTCTAAAATCAAAACAGTAAATAACGAACAACACTCAAAACAGGGGAATTCCAGACAAGAAACAATCAGGGCCATCTAATCATCACCCAATAAAGGATCCTCCAAGCAGGAAGCAGCCAGACCTTGAAGCTGCAAGGCCATTCAATGCTAATCAAGGTGGCCAATTGCAACATTCACACTTGCCTCAAACAGACAAGAGTTCTCTCTTCCATCCTGGACATTCCACAGATATGTAAACCTCACTTGCCTAGTTTCCAACAAACCTCACAACCTCTAAGGATGCCTGCCATAGATGGGGGCGAAACATCAGGAGAGAATGCTTCTGGAACGTGGCCAGACAGGCTGGAAAACTCACAGCAACCCAGTGATTCCAGCCATGAAAGCCTTCGACAACACATGGTTGAAAATCCTTTAAATGGGACAGGATAGCTCCCGATACTGTTTTTGTTTTTTGCCCTTCTCCCTAACATCCCCTTTATCTTACCTCGAGATCCTTGTGCCAGCATTACGTTTAGGACCTGATTTTGCTCTCTCAGGAAATGAATTTCAGAAGTCAGGGAATGATGTTGCTCCACGCCACGGATACAAACGTTTGCCGAACCTATAAATATATACATAAAAATGATTTATGAGCCATCTCTAGGTCAGTAAAGATTAAACTTCCCCAGACAAGAACAATTTAAACAATGCAGGCGGGGCAGGTGGGGAGGGACAGGCAGGCTTACAAAAAGCTATTTATCCCTTATACATTCTGAAGGTTATCATCACGACGGAGCGAAAGGTAATTCAGGTGGACTGTGAGCAAGCTGTCCCAACAGCCCTTGTGACGCCTGGCCAATATCAGCAAAATTGCAAATTATCCCTGGAAGATAATGGCAACTGGGCGCAGGCACTCACACACTTATCTTGGGCCTCCAGCCAGAGATTGTGCGGTGACTGATTGGCAGTCGTTTTCAACGCCCCAATAAATTACCAAAGTCTAAGAGAATGATATTTTTTGCATGTTGTGGAATCCATCCACAGAAACAGAATTGGATCAGGCCGGACAGGAGTTCAGCAAGTGGGCATCGAAACTACTGGCTGAGTTTGCTGGGAGTTGTGAAGGTTTGAAGTCCAAAAGATCAGGAGGACTAACACTGACCCTCTTGGAAGAGATCATGAAACCCACTAAGTCCTACCCTCAATGTGAGGATAGACTTATAAAACAACTCCTCCATCCTCCGGTCCTTGTGCAAGACCCTCCAAGACTTGGAAAATGGGAAATGTTGGCAAACTCAAGATGGGTAGATGCCTCCACTGTTGTAGATTTTCCACCACCAGGACTTTCTGCCTTGGTTCCAAGACTTGAGAGATGGGGAATGTTGGCAAATTCGAGATGGGTAGATGCCTCCACGGTTGTAGATTTTCCACCACCAGGACCTTCTGCCTTGGTTCCAAGACTTCAAAGATGGGGAATGCTGGCAAACTCAAGATTGGTAGATGCCTCCACAGTTGTAGATTTTCCACCACCAGGACCTTCTGCCTTGCTTCCCAGACTTGGACGATGGGGAATGTTGGCAAACTCAAGACGGGTAGATGCCTCCACAGTTGTAGATTTTCCACCACCAGGACCTTCTGCCTTGGTTCCAAGACTTGGAAGATGGGGAATGTTGGCAAACTCAAGATTGGTAGATGCCTCCACAGTTGTAGATTTTCCACCACCAGGACCTTCTGCCTTGGTTCCAAGACTTGGAAGATGGGGAATATTGGCAAACTCAAGATTGTTAGATCCACAGTTGTAAATTTTTCCCCACCAGGATCTTCTGTTTGGTTCCTAAGAGAATAAGGCGGAAGCCATCTTTGGTTCATCTCAGTGATCCAGGAGAGACCAGCAGACATAGGAGAAGGAGAAACTTCAAGAGACGACAAGGTTAAAACGAAAGAATGGACTTAAGAGAAGGGCCTCCCTGGAATATCCCTTGACCTGGGAAGGCTAGTATAAGAACATACAGTCCTTGAAGTGGCCATACAAGATTTCCTAGGCCAAAACCAACACTGAAATATCCCTGGAAATAGACTGGCAGTCAGTGGTGATTTTGTAATAAGGGGGTTGCGTTTCCCTGTAACCACAACAGCGAGCTATTTGGTTTTAATGTTCCAACGGCTCCAGTCCTACAGTTCTTTCCATCGTGACTAAAATACGAATAACTAGGAAGGACCCATCATACTCACAGGCCCCTTGTACAACCCCCCCCCCCCCCACTGCTTTCTGACTTCCCCTCCTTCCCATGAGGCAGCCATACATTTGGCGAAAGTAACCCAAAGACAGATGGGAGAGGTGCTGAGCTAATATACGCCTCCTGCATTAACAGATGTCCCCTCCTCCCCGCACATCTTTATGAAGCCATAAAAGTGCTGGAATGGTTTCAGGTGTGGCCATTTCGCGAGAACAGGATGCCTTTCCAGCTGCGCGTAAATACTTCACGAACAAAATCAGGGGCATTTATGGGTACTTTTCCATCAGCGTAAATTACTCCCGCGTGTAGCTGCCATTTCCTGATCGCACCCATTTTAAGCAACAAAATGGATGGTCGGAGGGTGCGAATAGGTTGTCAGATCTGAACAGTAGGATTAAAGGAGGAGATCGGTTCTTTCCTGTATCCTTTAGGAGGCCCCTCCAGCGTGGGAAGATCCAGCCATTCCTCAGAAGAAGAAACACAGTCTTATGCAATGGTGTCCAATCTTTGAGACTGCAACTCCCAGAAGCCTTGGACAGCTTGCCCAATGGTCAGGAATTCTGGGAGATGAAGTCCAACATACCTAGAGGACCAAAAGATCAGACACCACTAAGGAGTCCAGCATTAGGCAGCTCATGTGAAGTAGAACAGTGGTTACGAAAAAGGAGTCTTCCAGATATTTTGGATTCCAACTCCCAAAGGCCTCAATCAACTTGGCCCACAAAGAGGAATTTTGGGATCCGAAGTTCAAAACCTATAGAGTAGTAGTTCTCAACCTGTGGGTCCCAGGTGTTTTGGCCGACAACTTCCAGAATTCAATTTACCAGCTATTCAAAGAAACATTTCAAAACTCTACTAGCTAAGCATATGTTTTTTGTGCAGTGGCGTGTCTTTGAACCTGGCAGTTCAAAGACATGGTTTACCAGTTTAACAATCGAGTTACCTGTGTGCCATTACATGAATGCTTGTGAACATTACATGCAGTCATTGAATTCTTGACAGCAGAAGGTGTCATCTCAACATCTTTAAACTTACTCACCCAACGATGCAAAGTACTCACATCAACACAATCACCATAAAAAGCTTCCATTCTCTAACAAATCTCCTTTGGGGTGACACATTCTGCTGTCAAGAATTCAATGACTGCACATTGCTTAAGTCGCATTGACTGACCCTCTGAGCAGTGTTTCATACTTCGCACTTTAACAACACAACCATTCAATGCTAAGTCTTCCCGCCTAAATGGAACTGTAGAGGAGAGTCTACTGAACAAGCCAGTACCTGCCGCATAACAGTACTGTTATCTGTTGAGGAGTTACGAAGGTGGAGGCATTACTTTTCATTCAACCCAAGAAGAGACCTAAATCCTCTTGTTAGACCTTACCAAGGGATTGCCCATACTGCTAGGTAAGGAAAGCTAAGGAGCTAAATCATTTTATAGGAAATGAACATTTCCCTAGGTGTTATGCAGCCAAATTGGATAGCCCATGATCCTGGTGGTGCCGTTCAATCCTCCTCAGGCCTATCTAGCTTTCCCAATGTTCTGGCAAAATCTGTAATTGTCCAAGTCACTGCTTGTTTGGGCTCCTCTCAATTACACTTTTTTTCTATTCCTACCTCATCCAGGGTTTTATCGTTTCTCATCCATTTGGCCTGCCCATTGTGTCTGATTTTATGCAATGTCAATTTGCCTTATTTATTTTACTTTGCTATTTAATGTATTTTATTTTGATGTATTTTTTGTTGTCTGTTTTTTTGCATTTTATTCTGCTGTATTGTATCTTTGGGTTGGCCGCCCTGAGTCCCCTTTGGGGAGATGGTGACAGGGTATAAATAAATATTATTTATTATTATTATTATTATTATTTTATTGACACAAAAGCACAGTATGTCACAGCAAACGAGATCTATATGCTGGATTTCGTATCACAAAATCACAAGTCGAACACGTCCCAAGCGTCTAGGATTCTGTGATGTATTTTCGAATGATGCGTGCAGACCCAAGTAATAATAATAATAATAATTATTATTATTACTTGTATCTGTGCGCATCATTCGAAAATACATCACAGAGTCCTAGACGCTTGGGACATGTTCGACTTGTGATTTTGTGATACGAAATCACAAAATTGTACTCCTCCCAATAATTATAATAATAATATTTATTATTATTAGTATATAATATATTATTATTATTATTATTATTATTATTATTATTATTATTATTATTATTATTGGGAGGACTACAATTCTGCTTCTTCAGGAGGCATACCCAATGCTCCTTTCTCAAATGGACTCTTGTTCTGAAACATACACACATGCCTTCAAAACAAACAAACAAACAAAACACCTTTACTCTTTACCTTGGTCTGGTGCACAACCTGACCCCTGTTGCTCAAGCTGTTTCCTCAAACGGTCGTTGGTTTTGATGGATTCCTCGAGCTGGCGCCTCAGCATTCGGATTTCTTGGAGATGCTCCATTAAGAGCTCTAAGAAAAGGTAAGAGGGGTGGCTGCATCAGTTCGGAGCAAAAAGAAATGACTGGAGCAGAGACCAGTCAATTCCCCTTAAGTTACCATTATAACCCACCATCTATATATATAAAAATGCTTTGTGCATAATGAGTACCTTAAAAAAAAAAGAACCAATGAACGAAATCACACCTAATTTGGCAACAAAATGTCTCACAACACAAGGAGTGACCATCACTCAAAAAATTATGATTTTGTCATTTGGGAGTTGTAGTTGCTGGGATTTATAGTGCACCTACAATCAAAGAACATTCTGAACTCCATCAACGATGGAATTGAACCAAACTTGGAACACAGAACTCCCATGACCAACAGAAAATACTGGAAGGGTTTGGTGGGTATTGACCTTGAGTTTGGGAGTTATAGTTCACCTACAGAGCACTGTGGACTCAAACAATAATGGATCTGGACCAAACATGGCACAAGCACTCAATATGCCCAAATATGAACACAGAGGGAGTTTCGGGGAAATAGACCTTGACATTTGGGAGTTGTAGTCACTGGGATTCACAGTTCACCTACAATCAAAGAGCATTCTGAACCGCACAAACGACAAAATTGGGCCAAACTTCCCACACAGGACCCCCATGACCAACAGAAAATACTTAAGGCCATCCAGTCCAACTCCCTTCACCAGGGCAAGAAAACATAATCAAAGCCCTCCTAACAAAGAGCCATCCAGCCATAGATAGATCTAGATAGATAGATAGATATGATTCACACACAGATATAGTATCATAGATTTGAAAGGGACCCTTAAAGAAGGACAATGATATCTTGAATGTTCCAGGATGGGCAAACCAGACACTCTCCACGTCAACACTGACAGAGAAACAATAAGAAATACCATTTACCCACAAGCATAAAGAAACTACATATATTAGAAACTAACACTTTCTCATTATTTTATTTTACAGATCAACAGACTGGGCCATAGCAACGCGTGGCAGGGGACAGCTAGTACTTAAAAAAAAACCACCTCCATGTCTGATTTACACAACTGATCATGCTATGGAAGTCTTACGATCCTTACAGATTCAACAAAATACCTTTGATGGATAGGCGTGTAGAGAAACAGGTTCCCTTCCGCCGGCTGTACATTTTCCTCCCTGGTCACCAACCCATCTATTCTTTACCCGTTTTAAAAGAAAAAAGAAAGAACCCACTTTATTGCACTGTTTCGCCCAGTCTTTCTCCAACGGCGCCTGCTTTCAACTCATCCTCTAAGCAGAAGGGCCTGGAGAGCATCGATTGCGCTGGGTGTACATTTCCAGGTCAGCCCACACTCCCCCTATCAATTATGTAGTGTGCTCTCATCCCAAGGAAACACAACCCTGGCTTTTATAAAGCTGGAAACCACAGTAATTTAATCGTCTGTTGTCAGGCCTTAGTTTCAGCCTTTGAAGAAGTAGGAAAAAAAATACCCAAGAGGCGGTTGAAACAAGCAAAGGCAGAGTGGTGTTGCACTCTAGCTGCGGAACACCTTTTCACCCAGCATCAAACAGAGTTCAGAAGAAGCTAACTACAATTTACAAAAAAATATGTACAAAAGGGAAAATGAAAATTCCCAAAAAGCAACAGAAAGGGTGCTATGAAATAGCAGTAGTACAAAATACAAGGGTCAATAGTCCAAAATAGAACAGTACAAATAATCCATGAAGGCAAGGTATATGAAATCCATGAAGTCAAGAGCATAGGCATAAATCCATAAGAATGACACAGGAACATAGACATTAATCCATAGGCATGAAATCAGGAACTTTCCCAAGACAAAAATTTCCTTAGCTCTCTCTGAGCAGAGACCTAATCTCATATTGCGGGACAACTCCCCAACCTCTGAAGGCCAAGATCCATAGGCATGAAATCAGGAACTTTCCCAATTCAAAACTATTTCAGGAACATAGGGAACTTGAGAGCTAAACATAAACTTGATGTTAAGGCAATGTTGTCTGCTCTGAAGAGACCAGGAAACCAGCTCTTAATTTAAGATCAAACCGGACCAAGAAGCCATGAGGTCATCCCTTCTGCATCTGGGTTTCAAGGACTGTTTCTCACAAAATCTTTCTGACCTTCCAATTAACCTTTCCTTAGCTCTCTCTGAGCAGAGACCTAATCTCATTTAGGCAACTCCCCATCCTCTGAAGGCCGAGAGGGCAGTGAAAGCCGATTCTCAAGAGAACTGGAATCCCAAACATCTTCTATCTCTTCTATGATCAAGGGTCTGGAGAACAAGCCCTATGAGGAGCGGCTTAAGGAGGTGGGTATGTTTAGCCTGAAGAAGAGAAGACTGAGAGGAGATATGATAGCCATGTATAAATATGTGAGAGGAAGCCACAGGGAGGAGGGAGCAAGCTTGTTTTCTGCTTCCTTGGAGACTAGGACGCAATGGAACAATGGCTTCAAACTACAAGAGAGGAGATTCCATCTGAACATGAGGAAGAACTTCCTGACTGTGAGAGCCGTTCAGCAGTGGAACTCTCTGCCCTGGAGTGTGGTGGAGGCTCCTTCTTTGGAAGCTTTTAGACAGGGCTGGATGGCCATCTGTCAGGGGTGATTTGAATGCAATATTCCTGCTTCTTGACAGGGGGTTGGAATGGATGGCCCATGAGGTCTCTTCAAACTCTTTGATTCTATGATTCTATGATTCTGCAGGTCAGCCTTCCTCTCTGGCCTGCATTTCTGTCTGTGATTCAGCCTGATCACACACAGACTCAGTGAAATATCCATCATTCCCCTCATCCTCTGAGGAAGACTCCCCAGCATCTTGTTGCTGAGCCCCAACAGGTGGGTGGTCTTGAGAAGAGGTCCCTCTACAGAAGTGGTTCCAAACCTGTGCTCCATGGACCACCAGTGGTCCACAAGAACAAAATATAGTCCGTGGCCTCACCATGACTATACTGTTGCCTCGAAACCACATGGCAACGAGAGCGTCTGGCCTCATGAAATCCTCTTATAGTGCCGAGGCAATGGGGATGTAGGGAGGGGAGAGGCTGACTACCCATGAAAGATTACTACTACTAGATTACTAAATATGGTTTTCTGTGGGCAAGCAGATGGCAACTACTGGACGACATATGTTCTGTATCAGAAACTAGAGCTGATGTGGTCTATCCAATGCAATGTCCTGAATCAGCACTACAAATAACCAAACCGAATCTAAAGTTGACCAAGTCCAGCTCGCTAGCAATGCAAGAAAACCACCCTCATGACATAGTATCTTACTTGAGTGAAAAGGGCTGGGTGCAACAGTCACTTTTTCCCCCTCAACTTGAGCTGCTGCTGCTTCTTCATCTTTATGCCTGGATGGTTCTAGACAAGATGGTTTTCGTGACATCTCAACGTCAGATAATCTATTGGGGTAGAGGGAGAGAAGGAGATCAAATGAAGGAGAACCAAGGAACATCGGAGATATTCCATTATCCAGCTGGACTGTAGGTACTCATTGAAATGAGTTTTTAAATACAAAAAATGCTAAAATTTATTATTATTATTTTATTTATTTCCTACATTTTTACCCCGCCCTTCTCACCTCCAAGGTGGACTCAGGGCAGCCTCACAAAAGCATCACAAGATGCCAACATCATAAAAACAATCAACCATACATTAAAAATATTAAAAACAGTAAACAACAATAGATTAAAACATGCCTGTTAAGTCCAAAATTCTATGAATCTAGTGGGACTCCAGGAGAAATAAGTACAAGCCAACACAAACACTGCATTTACCTTTGTACCAGGCCACCAAGTTCAGTCATTTCATCCTCTATTGACTCTCCTGCAAAGGAAAAGGGGGAAAGGGGGTATTCAAAACAACACCAAGATGATACTCCCCACCAAGTCATTTGGTTTGAAAAACATTAAATTACATTACATTTTAAATACATTACAATGAAACATTTTTTTTCTGAGATCAATAATAAAGTCCTACAACCCATGCCCCACAAACACAGCCCTCTATAAAACTGAAGATCAGTTTTGGGCAACACGTGATCCTTTAAATGTTGTTGGAATACAAAGCCCATCAGCTGCAAGGTTGATGGTGAAAAGAGAAGGACGGCCTGCCTTAGGGAGCGTGCTTGCTTCATCAATGTTTAATATTTACAGAACAGACAAAGAGCTTCATCTATGCTGACGATCATGCCATCACCGCTCAAGCAGAAAAAGCTTTGAAATGGTTGAACAGGAGTTCTCTGAAGCTTTAGGTGCTCTTACTGCCTACTACGGGGAAAACCAGCTGATTCCTAATTCATCTAAAATGCAGACGTGAGCTTTTCACCTTAAGAACGACAAGCATCACAAGCTTTGAGAACTACCTGGGAAGGAAACCCACTGGTACATTACAGCACACCAAAATACCTGGGAGTCACTCAGGACTGTGTTCTGACTTGACTATTAAGTAAAAAGTGGGCACTGAAAATAATATACAGAAGCTTCCTGGTACATCCTGGGGATCACAACCAGACACAGTGAAGACATCTGCCTTTGCACTTTGCTACTCTGCTGCTGAATACGCATGCCCTGTGTGGGACACACCTCACCATGTTAAAACAGTGGGTGTGGCTCTTAATGACACATGCCACATTATCACAAAATGTCTACGCTCTACACCGCTGGAGAAATTATACTGTTTAGCTGGTATTGCACCATCTGAAATCCACCAAGAAGTAGCAGCCTGTAATGAAAGGACCAAGGCAGTGATATCTCCGGCCCATACTCTACTCGGATATCAGCCAGCACACCAACACCTTAAATCAAGAAACAGTTTTCTAAGATCTACAGAGATACTTGAAGGAACGCCACAGCAAGCAAGAGTCCAAAAGTGGCAGGTGAAAACCCAGAACCTCAATCAATGGCTGATCCCAAATGAGATACTCCCTCCTAGGCACACAGAAGACTGGGTGACTTGGAAGACGCTGAACAGACTGTGCTCTAACTTCACAAGATACACAGCCAACCTTAAGAAATGGGGCTACAAAGTGGAGTCCACAACACGCACGTGTGGAGAAGAGCAAATGACAGACGACTTACTACAACGTAGCCTAAGCCCTGCCACATGCACAATGGAGGACTTTCGTACAACGACACCAGAGGTCACCAAGTGGCCAGCTTCTGGTCAAAGGACATTGAGGATAATGTCAGGTTTTTCACTTTGTTTTGGTTTTTAAATACATTACAATGGTACTCTCAATTCACTTCTGACACTATTAATAAATAAATAGCCACAAGGTTGGGAATGATGGGACATGCAATTCAGGAACACTCAGCCCCGACTGCCACTCTACATTCCAACTCTCTGCCAGCTTCAACATTCTGCTCTCGCCCTGCATTTTATTTTTAACTCGTGATTCAGTGCTACCCTGTTGTGCCGAGATATATTGAATTGTCTCCGTTGTCAGCAACTTCATTAGTATATATGATACCATCTGCTGATTTGAACAGAAAGGCATTTTAATGTTTATTCGCGGGAGAAACTTATTTCCAATGCAAGGGGGTTTGATATACGATAATTGAATACGCTCTGTCTTTCGAGGAATACGCCAGCCGTAATGCCGGGGCTCAAATGAAAAATATCTCGCCACCCGCCAACAAAATGACCCCAGAACTTGAAGGGTTTTGCTGGAACTGCTGCCCGCATCTGCAAAGCTACGTTTGCCATGAATCGGCTCAAGACCATCTCAAGGGATATCCTTTGACGGAAGCCACCCACCATAGAGGCACTGCTGTTCCAGCCTCTCAAACAGCTTGGCGCTTTGGCCGAGCTGTTCCCGGAAGCCCTCGGCAACGTAATAATCCACTTCGCTGGTCTGAAGAAGCTCCTCAAAAGTTCGGATTAGGTTGGTCAAGTGCTGGCGGTAGGTGGCACAGATGTCGTGGAGATGTTGCATTTTCTGGCGCTGACAGGCCTCCTCAGGCGCCGGGGAGGAGGTTGGGGAGACGGACCTGTGAAAGTGGGGGAGACAGCATTTGGTGTATGAATGTGTGGGTTTTCAATAATAATAATAACAACAACAACAATGTGTGGGTTTTCAATAATAATAACAACAACAACAATGTGTGGGTTTTCAATAACAACAACAACAACAACAAAACACCACCACCACCACCACATTATTTATATTCCGCCTTTCTCCCCCCGAAAAGGACTCAGGGCAGATCACAGCACAAATACACGGCAAACACTCAACACCACTTTTGAATAGACAATACACAGACAGAACAGAAAAGAGGTAGTGTTGACTCAGTGTTTTGCTTTTTTTTTTTTTTTTGGTGCCAAGGAAGGTGAGTCCACAGCCACAGTGGGCGCTGTTACTCCATTCTCTATAACGAAGAGCCCTCAAGACTTTCTCTTTCCTTTTTGCTCACCCAGCATTTTCTGATCCTCTTTCTTTATGGCGTTGTAAAACACCTCCCCTGCTTTTTAGTGGTACCTAATTTCTCTAGTTACAGCTAAAGCTGTTTTCAAATTGCTTAAGTAAACAGTAAGCAGGGCTGACAGTCTACCACTCACACTGACCCAGGGCTTCAAACTTGCAACCTTCGGTTGACAGATCTTCTAGTTGCTGATGATTTATCAGCTGTGCTAAACCTCCGGCCCACATATCAAACCACATATCAACTGGGTTGTTGTAGTTTTTTTCAGGCTATATGGCCATGTTCTAGAGGCATTCTCTCCTGACGTTTCACCTGCATCTATAGCAAGCATCCTCAGAGGTAGTCAGGAGAAAATGCCTCTAGAACATGGCCATATAGCCCGAAAAAACCTACAACAACCCAGTGATTCCAGCCATGAAAGCCTTCGACAATACACATATCAACTTATGGCGACCCCATGAATTTCACAGAAAGGGGATACTCAGAGGCAGTTTTGTCAGTTCCTTCCTCTGAAGTATCACCAAGCCCCATGAAGAGCAGCTAAGGGAGTTGGGTCTGTTTCGCTTGGAGAAAAGAAGGCCATGTCTAAATATTTGAATCTGCTCCAGAGACTAGGAATCAACTCTTAACTTGCCAATGGAAGCACCTTTTCCTTCCACGACATGGTCTTCGAGCTGAGACTCATGTTTCTCTATAATACGAAATTCAATGTGCAGATTTGATAAATGTGAATTTAATATGATGTGTGGGAGTGAATGGAAAAATGTATGACATTAATAATTTTGGAAACACCAGTAAAAGACCCAGGCCTGCAATGATTAACTACCTTCTTGCTGGACTATAATTAAAAGTTGCTAATGAGAAGAGAAAAGTAAACTCTGATAAGAACTGGGACAGTGATAACAGAAATGTTTACAACATTCCTTATGTTAAGAAGGAAGTCAACACAAACCTTGTGTTTCTAAACACCACTCAAGAAGAATCAACATCTGGCCAGGAAACTGAAATGGAGCCAGGATGGAAGACGTCTATCATTAATTTACAATCTTGGGACTATATCAGCAGAATATTCCTATAAAAGACTCACTCTAAAAGCTCAAAGAGTGGCAGACCTGAGGAGTCTGTTCCACTTGCCTCTCTGCTCCATGAGAAGGAGAGAGATGGTGTATTTGGGGAGTGGCAGATTTGCACGGGAGCAGTCTGGTCACTTTGGGGCTTCTTTCTCAAGGGAAGAGGAAGAAGTGCGCTTTTGGAGTCTTAGATTTTGTGCAGGGTATCAGGTTCTGCTGTATGGAAAAGGAGGGTGGAATATAAATGCTGTATATAAATAAATAAATTGCAGGCTAAAACATCTGGGGACCCACAGTACGACTCCAGGATTTGTGCCTTCAAGATGTGCTGAACTATACTTCCCAAACTTCCCGACCACTGGCTGCACTGTATCATGAGCTCTAGAATCTAAAACATCTGGAAGGGAGCAGGCAATTTCTTTCAACACTGTTTACACAGTGCGAGATGTGGCCATGGTTTGCAACGAAAACAAAATTTAATTTATTTTGCGGAAGCATTGCAATATTTTATTTAAACAATCCTGCCAACTGACTAATATAGTTTTTTTGTGGGGTGGAAAGGGGTGAATTCAGCAGATAATGTCAAGGATGGTTTGGGATATTTTCCTTACTGCCTTAATTATTCAGAGACGTAGAGGGCGAAAAAACTGGGGCCGGCCAACTTTTACTGAGATGACGCAGAGAGATTTAGAACTAATTTAACATCCCCAAGCAACTATCTTGAAGTGAACCCAATCAAGCCTCTGTTTACTGTTTTCCCATGTTTTAACAGAGAAATAAATAGAGCAAGGTTCAGTGTTGCCTTCCGTGAAATATTTTTCATTACTATACCTATTTGTACCATTTTGCTATCAGTTATAGGAAGGTGGCGGCAGTGACGAAGCCTCCCTCTCTGCCATCCAATCATGTACTGTGAGCCTGGAAATGTACTAATAAAAATCTAATTCTCCCAAGCCTGAAGTTGTGACATATAAAACATTGCTGAAGAACAAAAAAAAAAAACCAAAAAAAAAAACCAGATACCGAGAAAGAAAACAAACCTCACCATTGCGAGCAAAGAAGTTGTGGGAAACAATGGAAACTGTGCCCAGCTAGTCTGCAAATATCAGACAATTTAGAGGTTCCTTAGCTACTGCTACTGCAGCGGACAAAAGAAACTGAGGAATTTGCCCCTCCCACTGACTTTGTATTTTATTTTATTTCATTTTGCAGTGTTCTGTTGTATATTTACTGTTTTGCTGGGCTTGGCCCCATGTAAGTTGCCCTGAGTCCCCTTGGGGAGATGGTGGCGGGGTAAAAATAATAATAATTATAATAATTATTATTATTATTATTCAGTGTTCCCTCGCTACTTCGCAGTTTGCTTTTAGCGGACTCACTGTTTCGTGGGTTTTTGAAAATATTAATATAAAATATTTATGTCCAGTGGAGGCCCGGGACCCCGGAAGTGCGGCAGCCTGAGGCCTTCCTGGCCTCCAAAGACCCCGGAAGTGCGGCGGCCTGAGGTGCAGCAGGGACAGCCTTCCTCCCTGGCCTCCACAGACCCCGGAAGTGCAGTGGCCTGAGGTGCAGCAGGGAAGGCTTTCCTGCCTGGCCTCCACAGACCCCGGAAGTGCGGCGGCCTGAGGTGCAGCAGGGAAGGCCTGCCTCCCTGGCCTGCTGCTGCCTGCGTGACTCTGGAGGCTCTGCCGGGGTCTGTGGAGGCCAGGGAGGCAGGAAGGCACCCTTGGGATGGGCCGGGAGGCAGGTAAGAAAGCGTGGGTAAGAAAATAATATATAAAACATATTAAATAATGTATAAATATTACCATTAATATGGCATTCCTACTCCGTGGATTTTCACTTATTGCGGGGGGTCCAGGAACGGAACTGCTGCGATAAGTGAGGGAACGCTGTATACTACAAGGAGAAAGTGGGCAGAAGCTACCACCAAAATGATTCCATTTCCATCATCTAGAGAGTTCTGAAACTATCTGTGCATGCATGAGAAGACCCATATGTGCACATTTCACAGAGACCACGCAGAAGAATGAATGAATCCCAGTTCTCATTCATTCATATCCTGTATTGTCGAAGGCTTTACAGGCCAATGGAGACTCCACCTCAGACATCAGAAGAGCTGTAAGACCGAGAACAAGCCACAAGAGTAAAGACAAAGATCCACCCAGAGGAAAAGTGTTCTTGCCATACATCAAGGGAACCACTAACCCATAGGGAAGCTGATGAGGAAACACAACATACAAACTATCTACAGACCCACTAAGAAAATCCAACAAATGCTATGTTTAGCAAAGGACAAGAGGGATCCTCTCACCTCTGTAGGAGTCTTCCATATACCATGCAGCTGTGGACAAGTCTACATAGGGACCACCAAACGCAGCATTGCCCAGACACGAATCAAGGAACATGAAAGGCACTGCAGAATACTTCAACCAGAGAAGTCAGCCATAGCAGAGCACCTGATGAACCAACCTGGACACAGCATATTATCTGAGAACACAGAAATGCTGGACCACTAGAATGTCACACAACACAGAGAAACCATAGAAATCCACAAACATGTGGACAATTTCAACAGAAAGGAGGAAGCCATGAAAATGCAAAAAACCCAATTTTCCTAGTTGCCAACAGACCTCACAACCTCTAAGGATGCCTGCCATAGATGCAGGCAAAACTTCAGGAGAGAATGCTTCTAGAACATGGACATACAGCCCGAAAAACCTACAACAACCCATGCCAAATATTTTCCTGTTTTTCCCCCCTCTAAAATAGTCTAAATAACTACTCACTCCTCCAGTGATGCTCCTTTTAGCTTCTTCTGAAGGCGGTATACTTTGTCCAGGAGGTGCATGTTGGCAATCTGCTCCTTCTCAAGTTCAGCCTCATTTTCGGAGAGCAGTTCCTTCAGCTTCTCCACCATCGCTTCGTTCTGTTCCTCTAAGAGACGGGACGAGAGATCGTCTACCTGGACGCCATATTCCACTTTCTGGGGCACCTCAGAGAAAGCCTGCGACTCCGGCTTCTCACCCTCCAGCGTTGGAGGAAGCTGACCTTCAGCGGGCAGGTCCTCGTGACTATGGACGGCACTCAAATGAATGCTGAGAGGGGGCAGCTCAGCAGGCACCGAAAAGCAGGTCATCAACGTATGGTATTTTGCCAGTTTGGACGTCAGATCCTTAATTCGTTGCCTCAGTTCCTTGACGTCATCAACGTCATCGAAGTCAAGCGTCTCAAGGGTTGTGCCACTCAGCTTGAGGGAGAGCACACTTGCAGTGGTAGCCATATCACCATCCTGCTTATTTGAGAGGTTGGATTCCTCTTGATCGAGCTCTTTCGAAGTTGCCACGTCTGGCTCCATCTTGATCGTTTCAGTTTCTGGAAACCAAACGAGACATTAAAATAAATGATGATGAAATGAAGGACTGGATGGCTCTAATGGTCTCTTCCAAGTCTAGGCCTCTATTATCTGCCAAAGTAATTCTCTAAATCAGTGGTTCTCAACCTATGGGTCCCAACATGTTTTGGCCTACAACTCCCATAAACCCCAGCAAGTTTACCAACTGTTAGGATTTCTGGGAGTTGAAGGCCAAAACATCTGGGGACCCACAGGTTGAGAACCACTGCTCTAAATTATGAAATCAGGTAATAAGGATATTAGTGAACTCTATATTTTGACAGTACTTGTGATGGAGGTATATCTTATATAAATAAAAATGTAATGTTCGTTTGTGGGATTAACATAACTCAAAAACCACTGGGCGAATTGACACCAAATTTGGACACAATACACCTATCAGGCCAACGAGTGACCATCACTCATAAAAACACTGAAAAACACAGCAGAAGAGACTTAAAAAGCCAAAAAATTAAAAAGTACATTACAAACCATATATATATATATATATATATATATATATATATATATATATATATGGTTTTGCAAATGCATTGTAATTTTTATATATGTACACACATGCATGTTTTGCACATGCATTGTAATTTTTATATATGTACACGCATGTTTGCACATGCATTGTAATATATATATATATGTACACAACAAACACACATATATGCATATACACACAAAACACATACACAGAAAGGGGGAAGGAAGGAAGAAGGAAGGAAGGAGAGAAGGAGGGAAAGAAGGAGGGAAGGAGGAAAGAAGGAAAGAAAGAAAGGTAGAGAAGGAAGGAAGGAGAGAAGGTGGGAGAGGAGGGAGAGAAAGAGGGAAAGAAGGAGGGAAGAGAAGGAAAGAAAGAAAGAGAAGGAAGGATAGAAGGAGGGAGAGAAAGAGGGAAAGAAGGAGGGAAGGAGAGAAGGAAATAAAAAAGTGAAAGAGGGAAGGAAGGAGAGAAGGAACGAAAGAGAGAAAGAAGGAAGGAAGGGGACAAGGAAGGATGGAACCAAAGAGCAAAGGGAGCAAGAAAAGAAACAGGTAGAGAGAAAGAAAAAGTGGGAAGGAAGGAAAGAGGGAAGGAAGGAAGGAGTGAGTGAAAGAAAGAAGGAGGAGAAAGAGGGAGGGAAGGTTTGCCACAAAAATGCGTGGCGGGTACGGCTAGTTTATATATATAAAAACACTCAGTTTGTTTTAAGTGACATCATAACTCAAAATCCACTGGACGAATTGCCGCCAAATTTGCCCATAAGACACCTATTAACCCAAGGTGTGACGATAACTCAAAAAAATGATTTTGTTATTTTGCTGGGATTTATAGTTCACCTACAATCGAAGAGCATTCTGAACTCCACCAACGATGGAATTGAACCAAACGTGGCACACAGAACTCCCATGGCCAACAGAAAATACTGGAAGGGTTTCGTGGGCATTGACCTTGAGTTTGTGAGTTGTAGTTCACCTTCATCCAGAAAGCACTGTGGACTCAAGCAATGATGGATCTGGACCAAACTTGGCACAAATACTCAATAGGTCCAAATATGAACACTTGTGGAGTTTGGGGAAAACAGACATTGACCTTCGGGAGTTGTAGTTGCTGGGATTGATAGTTCACCTACAATCAACATTCTGAATTGGGCCAAACTTCCCACAGAACCCCCATCACCAACAGAAAATGCTGTTTTCTGATCATCTTTGGCGACCCTTGTGACACCCCTTTTGACCCCCCCCCCCCAGGGATCCCGACCCCCAGGTTGAAAAATACTGCCCTATTCCAGCCATCTAATACTCAGTTCTCTGAGCCAAATATGCCTTGGGCCCATCCATAATTTTGCTGTGATTTTGTTGTTTAACTCAGCCTGGTTTTGTCTGCCGCACATTCACATGCCGCAAGCGTCCTTCCAAAAATTCCTATTCATGATTCCATTTTGGAAAAAAAAGGAAGATCTCCCTGGTGGAAAGTGCAACGGTGGAGGCTTCCGGGGTCTCGAGAAAGAGGAAAAAAAGCCCTTCATACCAGACTCTCAGCGCAATCATTAGGGTGACTTATAACCTGCAATAAGCGAGTCGGTTACATTTGAAGAAATGCAAGCAGTGGGGGGAGAAGAGGGAAAGCCGGAGTTTGAAAGCTTCAAGCCTTTCAAACAGGCATTCATCAACTACTCTTCTCCCACCCCCAATTCGCAAGCAGGATCAGAAAAACGCTGTAGCACCGAGCGCACAGGGAGTTGAGCACACATCTCATTATTCTTAGGAGATACAGTCCTCATAAATCCCAACGACTCTTCCAAAAAGTCCAGCTCTTGCGAGTCCGCGATGGGGGTCTCGGGGACTGTTGTTTTTGGATAATTAAGTACATAATCTGATCAAAAAAGGACTTGTATGGGTGCAACTTAGCTCAACATTGTGGACCTTAGGGCAGCCTATGACAGGGTGTAACATAGGAAATTGCTGCACAAAGTCTACCACTTCACTTCACATTACGCTGTCCAAGTAGGATTGTCTTCCAAGTTCGGTGTCCTGGCAATGGGTCCGTACGTGATTGTAGAGCCCTATTCCTAAACTACACGCTCTCCCACAGTGAGGGCATTGGTTTCCAGGTGGAAGGCGGTCCTGATCGGGGTTGGCTTGACACGTCTTCCACTTGGCACGTTTCTCTCTTTTGCCCCCCATTTGTGACTCTTCAAATTCTGCAGCACTGCTGGTCAAAGCTGACCTCCAGCTGGAGCACTCAAGGGCCAGGGCTTCCCAGTTCTCAGTGTCTATGCCAGAGTTTTTAAGGTTGGCTTTGAGCCCATCTTTCAATCTCTTTTTCCTGCCCACCAACATTTAAAGTGGTCACACGAAAGGAGTTAGGAAAACCATGAGCTAGGAAAGCAGGGAAGAGGGAGGATTTGGGAAACATCAACAACAGCTTCATCGAAACTTAAATTATTATTTTGTATCCAAAACATTCCACAAATAAATAAGTATAAAACTGGGCTGTTGTAACTTTTCCGGGCTGTCTGGCCATGTTCCCGAAGCATTCTCTCCTGATGTTTCACCTTCATCTATGGCAGGCATCCTCAGAGGTTGTGAGGTCTGTTGGAAACTAGGAAAATTGGGTTTATATATCTGTGGAATGTCCAGGTAGGGAGAAAGAACTCTTGTCTGTTGGAGATAGACGGTCCCGGTCAGGGTTGGTTTGACATGACTTCCTCTTGGCACGTTTCTCTCTTTCGCCGAGCATTCATGCCTCTTCAAATTCTACAGCACTGCTGGTCACAGCTGACCTCCAGTTAGAGCGCTCAAGGGCCAGGGCTTCCCAGTTCTCAGTGTCTATGCCAGAGTTTTTAAGGTTGGCTTTGAGCCCCTCTTTCAATCTCCTTTCCTGCCCACCAACATTCTGTTTTTCATTCTTGAGTTCGGAGTAGAGCATCTGCTTTGGGAGACGGTAGTCGGGCATTCAGACAACGTGGCCTGTCCAGCGGAGTTGATGGCGGAGGAGCACTGCTTCAATGCTGGTGGTCTTTGCTTCTTCCAGCACGCTGACATTTGTCCGCCCGTCTTCCCAAAAGATTTGTAGGATTTTGCGGATTCAGCACTGATGGAATCATTCCAGGAGTTGCATGTGACATCTGTAGATAGTCCACATTTCGTAGGCATATAGCAGGATTGGGAGAACAATAGCTTTATAAACAAGCATCTTGCTAGTCCTAAGGATGTCCTGGTTCTGAAACATGCTGTGCTTCATTCGGAAAAATGCTGCACTCGCAGAGCTCAGGCGGTGTTGTATTTCAGTGTCAATGTTGACTTCTGTGGAGAGGTGGCTGCCAAGGAAGCAGAAATGGTCCACATTTTCTAATGTTACACCATTAAGCTGTATTTCTGGCATTGGAGAGGGATTGGCTGGCATTGGAAGGAAGGAGAGAAAGAGGGAAGAAGGGAAAGAAGGACGGAAGGAAAGAAGGGAGAGAATGAAATAAAAAAGTGAAAGAGAGAAGGAAGGAGAGAAGGAAGGAAGGAAAGAGAGAAAGAGGGAGGGAGGGAGGGAAGGATGGAACCAAAGAGCAAAGGAAGCGAGGAAAGAAACAGGTAGAGAAGGAAGAAAGAAGAAGGGAAAGAAAAAGAGGGAGGAAAGGAAGGAGAGAAAGAAAGAAGGAGAGAAAGAGGGAGGGAAGGTTGGCCACAAGAACGCGTCGCAGGTACAGCTAGTAAATAAAAATGTAATGTTCGTTTGTGGGATTAACATAACTCAAAAACCACTGGACGAATTGACATCAAATTTGGACACAATACACCTCTCAGGCCAATAAGTGACCATCACTCATAAAAACACTGAAAAACACAGCAGAAGAGACTTAAAAAGCCAAAAAACAAAAATGCATTACAACACATACACAAAACCACATATACACACAAATACACACACATATACACATATATACACAAACACATATACACAGAGTGGGCTACAGCAACGCGTGGCAGGGATGGCTAGTAAATAAAATAAAAACGTAAGTCATCCAGAGGTTTGCCTGCCAAGTTTAAAACTTCTCCCTTCCCCGCAGCCATATTGCTTGGATATATGTCTTCCTACCTAGGCTTGTGCTCAGGCGCTTGCTGGACACTTCTTGGCTCCCAACACTGACAAAACTGACATCTACGTTGGAAACAGTGATCTTCCCCGAAGACTCAGCTAGGACACGAGAGAACGGAAAGACAATAATACGTGTTCAAGAGAACAGGAAAATAAAACGTATTTGAAATGGAAAAGGAATCTTTGGAAAAAGGTTATACAGAAAGCGTCTTCCTAAATTGTAATGACAATTATTATTATTATTATTATTATTATTATTATTATTATTATTATTATTTTACTGACGCAAAAACACAGTATGTCACAGCAAACGAGATATATATGCTGGATTTTGTATCACAAAATCACAAGTCGAACGCTTCCCAAGCATCTAGGACTGTGTGATTTTTTATTATTATTATTATTATTATTATTATTATTATTATTATTATTATTATTTTACTGACGCAAAAACACAGTATGTCACAGCAAATGAGATCGATATGCTGGATTTCGTATCACAAAATCACAAGTTGAACACTTCCCAAGCTTCTAGGACTGTGTGATGTATTTTCAAATGATGTGTGCAGATCCAAGTAAGGTTGTTGTTATTATTATTATTATTTTACTGACACAAAAGCACAGTATGTCACAGCAAACGAGATATATATGTTGGATTTTGTATCACAAAATCACAAGTCGAACACTTCCCAAGCATCTAGGACTGTGTGATGTATGTGATGTATTTTCGAATGGTTATTATTATTCCACCTGACCTCACGATTGTGTTAAAAAACCAAGTATGGATTGTCAATGTTGCAATCTCAGCAGGATTGAAGAGAAACAACTGAAAAAGCTGACATAATACGAGGATTTAAGGATCGAACGGCAAAAACTCTGGCACAAGCCAGTCAAGGGGGTCCCAGTGGTGATCGGCATACTGGGTGCAGTGCCTAAAGACCTTGGCCTGCACTTAAACATAATAATGATTTAAGTTGACTGATTTTCATAATAATAATAATAATAATAATAGTAATAATAATAAGCTGACACAGTATGAGGATTTAAAGATCGAATTGCGAATACCCTGGCACAAACCAGTCAAGGTGGTGATCGGCGCACTGGGTGCAGTGCCTAAAGACCTTGGCTTGCACTTAAACACAATAATGATTTCAGCTGACTGATTTTAATAATAATGATAATACTAATAATAATCATGATAAAAAGCTGACACAATACAAGAATTTAAAGATCGAACTGCAAAAACTCTGGCACAAGCCAGTCAAGGTGGTCCCAGTGGTGATCGGCACACTGGGTGCAGTGTCTAAAGACCTTGGCCTGCACTTAAACACAATAATGATTTTAGCTGACTGATTTTAATAATAATGATATTATTATAATTGTACTGCTACCGAGTACTATTATTATTATTATTATTATTATTAATAATAATAATAATAATAATAATAATAATAAAGCTGACACAATACAAGGATTTAAAGATCGAACTGCATAGACTCTGGCACAAGCCAGTCAAGGTGGCCTCAGTGGTGATCGGCACACTGGGTGCAGTGCCTAAAGACCTTGGCCTGCACTTAAAACACAATCGGCGCTGACAAAATCACCACCTGTCAACAGCAAAAGGCCACCCTACTGGGATCTGCACGCATTATTCGCCGATACATCACACAGTCCTAGACACTTGGGAAGTGTCCGACGTGTAATCCAATACAACAGCCAGCAGAGTGACCTTGTTTGCTGTGTACTAATTTTGTTGTGTTTCTAATAATAATAATAATAATAATCATCATCATCATCATCATCATCTATATAAATAAAAATGTAGCGTTCGTTTGTGGGAATAACATAACTCAAAAACCACTGGGCAAACCAACACCAAATTTGGACACAATACACCTATCAGGCCAACGAGTGACCATCACTCATAAAAACACTGAAAAAATAGCGGAAGAGGCTTAAAACGCCAAAAAAAAAATTACATCGTATGCACATAACCACATAAATACACATATACACACACATATACACATATATATATACACACAAAACACAGGGCCACAGCAACGCATGGCAGGGGACAGCTAGTAATAATAATAATAATAATAATAATAATAATAATAATAATAATAATAATAATAATACTGGAGGGGACTCAAGGCAATTTCCCGTCAAAAAAGTGGCAAATCTTGGGAAGTCAGGCTTGGCCACGGTAGTTCCTGCTCTTGTTACATCCCGTATTGATTACTGCAACATGCTCTACGTGGGGTTCCCCTTGAAGACTGTTCGGAAGCTTCAATTGGTCCAACGGGCAGTGGACAGGTTGCTCACCAGAGTGGCATTCCTCTTGTTGTGCCAGCTCCACTGGCTGTCAGTCTGCTACAGAGCACAATTCAAGGTGCTGGCTTTAGCCTATAAAGCCCTAAATGGTTCCGGACCTGCGTACCTATCCGAACGTATCTCCCCCTATGAACCACCTCAGATATTAAGATTGTCTGGGGAGGCTCTACTCAGTTTCACCTTCCTCGCAAGAGTGACTGATGGCGACGAGGGACAGGGCCTTCTCAGTGGTGGCCCCTCGGATATGGAATTCCCATTGACATTAGATTAGCCCCCTCCCTCCTAGCCTTCAGAAGGAAAGTAAAAACTTTGGTTTTGGGATCAGGCTTTCAGAGAATAGTACAATGCAACAAGAGATTTGGAATATGAGCTATGACTATGGAACATGGGTCTCTCTCGAATACCTTGGCATGTGCTTTGATCCTTCTCAGACACTTCATCTTTGCTTTCAATACTGATGAAGCTGGTATCCACTTCAGAGCCATCAATCAACGATTCGGCTAGAAAAAATAATTGATTTTGTCATTTGGGAATTGCAGTTGCTGGGATTTATAGTTCACCTACAATCAAAGAGCATTCTGAACTCCACCAACGATGGAATTGAATCAAACTTCCCACACAGAACTCCCATGACTAACAGAAAATACTGGAAGGGTTTGGTGGGCACAGACCTTGAATTTTGAAGTTGTAGTTCACCTACATCCAGAAAACACTGTGAACTCAAACAATGATTGAACTGGACCAAACTTGGCATGAATACTCAATATGCCCAAATGTGAACACTGGTGGAGTTTGGGGAAAATAGGCCTTGACATTTGGGAGTTGTGGTTGCTGGGATTTATAGTTCACCTACAATCAAAGAACATTCTGAACCCCACCAACAATAGAATTGGACCAAAGAGAATGGAAGAGTTGGTGTTAGTCAGAGTGAGTTTGGGTTTAGAGAAGAAGATTGGGTTAGTCTTTTGGGAGGTATTCAGAGTAACCATTAGTAGATAGCTAAAATACTGTGGTGGAGCAGGGCCCAGTTAGTGGACTGTTCAATTCCTAGGGAAGTCTAGTTCAGGATATTTTTGGCTCGATTCCTAAAGGGGCAGTTTTGGGAGTTACTTTCAGAGATTAATTTCCTGAAGTTTCTGTGGTGGAACTTTGAAGACTTGTAACCCAGAATAGTTTAAGATTTTACTCTAATGCAACCACAAGCTTTTCAAACCAGTATTTTTCTGAAACCATTAAGCATTTGTACCTGAATTATTTCAAGCTTGTTCAATAAACATTCTTGTTCTTTTATGAACTTATACCAGCCTCAGTGTGTGTACCTTTGTGGTCAAAATATTTCTAAAGTCAGCTTCACAGCAGCCACGAAGAAACTATAGTGGCACAGTGTGTGTTACAGAACAAACTCACAATATTACCTCAGCCTGATTAATATTGGAATTGTGGCAGCGGATTTCTTTTGAAGATGCATTTTGAGTCTCTCAGTTCTAGTGTTTCCCAGTTCCTACCTTTTAAAAGGCTAAGTGTCTCTCCCCTTCTCTGCTCTAATTTCTCCTGATATTGGTACAATCAGTGGGATAAATTTCAACCATTAAAATAAAGAGAAATTTAAATATACAGCTGTTTCAACAACCATACTCCCTCTTCCTTTTGATGGCTTTATAATTTTGGTGAGCACCTGTTTATATTTTAAGTGGTGCCTGTCGTTATACATGGCAAAGCAGGGAGATTATGTAAAAAATTGTGCATTTGTCTCTTCTGAAAGTTGACTGAAGTACATTCCGTCAAAAACATAAAAAAATAACTTGTTGTTGTTCATTCGTTCAGTCGTCTCCGACTCTTCGTGACCTCATGGACCAGCCCACGCCAGAGCTCCCTGTCGGCCGTCACCACTCCCAGCTCCTTCAAGGTCAGTCCAGTCACTTCAAGGATGCCATCCATCCATCTTGCCCTTGGTCGGCCCCTCTTCCTTTTGCCTTCCACTTTCCCCAGCATAATTGTCTTCTCTAGGCAATTAACTAGGTATTTTAAATTACAAAAATGTGAGTCAAGCACTGATAGGGTTAAACAGATGACTCGGCAAAAGCTGCAGTACAATATAAGTAGGTGTGCCTGTAGCTTAGCGCACCTCAATGTTAGTTGCCCTCAGTATGAAGAGGCCTCAGTGTGAGGTAGGCTTCAGTGTGAGGTAGGCCTCAGTGTGAGAATCCTTCGGTGAGAGAAGCCCCAGATTGAAAGCCTGTGTGTGAAGCTCCAGTGTGAAGGCTGCTGTGTGTAAAAGGCTACTGTGTGAAGTTGTTGTATAAGTTTAGTGTGAGAAGAGGCTCTGTGAGAGTGAAGCTTTTTATCTGAACGAGAAAGAAGCCCAGTGTGGAAGCAAAGAAGGAAGTATAAAGAACTTTATTTGTGTTATAGAAATCTTGTTCTTATAAATAGTGCAACCATATTATTTTGCTATAAAGAAAAGCCTCCTAAGGAAGAGATAACATTAGTCTGTGTGTTGTTTTTGTCACTTTGGGCTACTGGTGCTGGGTCACACTGCTGCTAATAATATTAGCAAACGAGGGGGGTCGTTTGCTAATAAGCCCACTCGCCCAACACATTCTACAGAGTGTGGATAATTTTTGACACACCCTTATATACTGTGCGGGTCTTTCTGATAACCTCAATCCAAACTATATAGGGTCATAACCAGCATGTTGTACTAGGTGAGTCTTTGGTTCGTCCCTACCAGTCCTTCTTATATAAATGGGACCAATATAGGAGTGAATAACAAGCCAAGTCTTTCTGCTCCCCTTTATGTTGCCTCCCTCTACTGACAGCTCTCTGCTGTTCTTGCTCATCTCCCTGGCTGTTTTGCAGCAGCAACACACACTTGTGTGTGTGAGAAAGAAAAGAAAATGTTAATGCCTACACCTTATTTATTATGCACATTATCTCAGGTCCCCCAATGCGCTTTCCTCTTGGATAAAGTGGTACATAAGAGAATACGTCTAATAAATAAAATGGTTGCAGAACACTAAAAAATTTTATGAAGACACTTGTTTGCGCAGAGACAGATAAAGTAGATCATTTTAACACTGCGGACAGGGAAAAGGATTTAATGTCTCACGCTGCTGGAAGAAATGCAGCTGTTGCACGCAAGGACATATTCCAGATAACACAAAGGGGAGTGCACTGGATTGAGTCTTTGTTAACTCGTGGTTCGCTGCAGTGATTCCTCATGCCACTCTTTAGCTGGTGGCATTTCCTCTTCCTTTTCCTCCTCCTCTGGCCAGGCCCCAAAAGCAAATATATTGTGGCATCACAGTTTACATTTTATAAATACACCAAATGGAGAGGGATAGCCAATGGTTATAGCCCAGATTCCAAAATGACCTCAAACAAGTAGAGCAGGGGTACTCAAACCTTTTCAGTCTGGGCCCCTTTTTGAAGCAAAAGTTTCTCATGGAGCCCCAATAAATGTTTACAGTGTTCCCTCGCAACTCTGTGGTTCGCTTTCTGCGGATTCGCTGTTTTGTGGTTTTCAAAAAAAATTAATTTGACATACAAGTTCTGAGAGAACACCGTATACACACAGATCTATAAATCCCCTTGTCGAGATGGTGCCGGTGCGGGGCACGGAGAGAGCCACCAAGGCAGCTTCTGCCGGGACTTTTTCCTCCAGGGTGGAGAGGGCCACCGCCAAGGCAGATTCCGCCGGGGCTGCTTCCAGGTCACTCTTCCTCGGGTGACAAGGTGAGAGCCTCATGCCAGTGGGGAAGCAGGGAGGGAGGAAGGAAGGGGGAAAGAGGAGAGGAAGATAGAGAGAGAGGAGGGGGAAAGAGGAGTGGGCGGAGGTATACTGTCCCTATAGCGTCCCTATATCGCAATTTTTCAGTTATCGTGGGGGTGTATTTATTTATTTATGAAATTTATATGCCGCCCTCCTCACCCCGAAGGAGACTCAGAGCGGCTTACAAGTTATATGTACAAACAATATATTATACAAGTTATATGTACATACAATATATTATATTCTTAGCATAGCACAATATTAGTATTATATATTATGATATTGTATTATACCTTTATACTGTAATATTATTAGTAATATTACATGTAGGTAAGGTAAAGGTTTTCCCCTGACATTAAGTCCAGTTGTCCCAGACTCTGGGGGTTGGTGTTCATCGCCATTTCTAAGCCTGAAGTGCCAGCATTGTCCGTAGACACCTCCAAGGTCATGTGGCCAGCATGACTGCATGGAGCACCATTACCTTCCCACCAGAAGGGTTCCTATCGATCTACTCACATTTGCATGTTTTCAAACTGCTAGGTTGGCAGAAGCTGGGGCTGACAGCAGGAGCTCACGCCACTCCCTGGATTCGAACCTGCAACCTTTTGGTCAACAAGTTCAGCAGCTCAGTGCTTTAACCCACTGCACCACCGTGGGCATATATAACTAGGGACTAATATATAATTATAATATGAAATATATAATTATACTATTGTATTATTAGTAGTAATAAATAAATAAAAATAATATTATAAACAGTGTTCCCTCCTGGAACGGAAGGAACATTGTATATATTATATATGATATATAATGTATATATAACAGGCATGGGTTGGGACACCGGCAGATAGATTGAGAGTGTTCGTGTGAATAAATTCACACACTGCAAATAATAAAAAATCAAAAATGCAGTATGTTGTAGCTCAGCCAGGGGCTGATGGATTCAGAAGGGATTGTGGGATTTCCTGGGGTTCAAAGTGATTCAGATTCAGGCCTGCTTCCAAGTGTTGAAGATTCAGGACAGGGAAATGAAACTGATTCAGACAGTGCCGAGCTCCAAGGTCAGTCACAGGAGCCGGAAACAGCATCATTAGATAAGAGGTCGGGTCAAGAAGAGTTAAGTTAAATGGAAAACTCTCAGGGGAAAGAACCTGGTGTTACAGAAATAAGCAAAAGTTTTTGTTTGGATTGGATCTATGGAACTCTGGAAAACGAAACGCTGGATATGAGAATGGTTTTATATGATGTTTTATATGATGTGTTATATACTGGTTGCTTGATTGTTTAAATTTGTGATAACTGTTTTTAACTACGTTTTTGTATATTATGTGTAAATTGTACAGGCATCGAATTGTGCCTTTTTTGTAAGCCGCCCTGAGTCCCCCTTCGGGGGTTGAGAAGGGCGGGGTAAAAGTACCATAAATAAATAAATAAATAAAAATACAGTTTAGAACAGAGAACCGGCTCTGTAGATCTGAGAGATTACATGGGAAAGAGATAGAGAAAATTCGTGAGAAAGGACATGATTACATAAGTGCTTATTAACAGCCAGTTGTTTACCTTAAAGTTAATTCAGACAACACTGGCTTTCGAGGGAGAAGCTAGGCCTAAGTTCTTGTGTTAAGTCAAGTCCTAATTTTTAGTGAAATTCAACATACTTCTGTTTTAGAAATAAAATTTGAATCTTGACCACTGAATAGCTATGGTATAGGACTGATAGATGTATAGCCATTAGTAGCTGGAAAGGCTATCCAAGCAACACTTCTCTTCATGTCCACCTATCAATGTAAATCAGGCTTTTTAGCTTAGGCTTACAACAAAAACAAATATAGGAGCAAGTTGGAGGCTACACCGGAATGGAGACTATTTCATTGATCGCTTTAGGTTGAATCTGTTGCACTATGGCCCTGAAGCCTCCTTTCACCACAAACCACACACTGTCCAGATAATCCAATGTAAGAATTTATGAAAGAAAAGTATAATAAAAGCTGGATATATGAAAAGCAAGCCAATATGAAAAAATGGGATCCAAGTTCAAAGAGTTATGATCATAAAAGCCAAAACTCCAAAAATCCCTTTAGAGAAAACATCTAAAGCAATTCCACTGAGATACGCAAAGACAAAGTACATAAATCCAAAGTAGGCAAAACTATGCCTCACAAGACCAGAATGAAGGAACAGCTTGAAAACTTGGTTACATGAATTCCAAGGCCCATGACACCAAGAGCTCTGCACTTGAATGCAGTGTTGCTCTCACAAAGATTATACCAACATGAACCACTTTTTAAAAGCCAAAATCCTTCCCATGAGGTTGTTTCTTTTGCACCTCCTTTCCTTATCTTTAAGTCGCTTGGAGAAGTGAATCCTTAATTGCAGGCCTTGTTGTCTCAACTCCAATCTCTTTGACCTTGACAAGCATTTGTCTCCCTCATTTCCCTCAGTCTGCACTTCTGGCGGGTTCCCATGGGAAAAAATCTCGCCTTCACTGTTCTCATGGGAAGTGCCAGGAGATTCCAAAACATTTCTCTCCTGGCCCTCTGAATCTCTCCAAGCACAATTCAAAGTGCTGGTTTTGACCTACAAAACCCTATACGGCTCCGGTCCGGCGTACCTGTCCGAACGCATCTCCCTCTACGTCCCACCTTGGAATCTGAGATCATCTGGGGAGGCCCTGCTCTCGACCCCACCTCTATCACAAGTGAGGCTGGTRGGGACGAGGAGCAGGGCCTTCTCGGTGGTGGCCCCTCACCTGTGGAATTCACTCCCAGGGGAGATCAGATCAGCACCATCCCTCCTCTCCTTTAGACGGAAATTMAAAACGTGGTTATGGGACCAGGCCTTCGGGCAACCTGGCAGCTAAGGACAATGGACGACTAGAATTAACTGGACTGACAATGTGGAATTGAAACTATGGACTATGAGACGGCGAACGCTGAATGCTAAACTGGTTTATTGACGTGTTGCAGAACTGAGAACCGTCCGTTTAATTGTTTTTAACTGTTTAATTGCTGCTATACTGTTTTTATTGTTGTCGAATTGTGCCTTTGTAAGCCGCTCTGAGTCCCCCCCCGGGATGAGAAGGGYGGGGTAGAAGTGTCTGAAATAAATAACAAATAAATAATTCTCCTTCCTCATCTTCTGAATGCAAAGAATCTGACCAGGCTACAACAGAATCAAAAATTTGCCTGTACCAAAACAAGAGTATGTGGCTATATCCAAATTTTTTTGAACCAAAATAAAAATACAAATATTTTCTCTTTAGTTCAAAAACAACTAAATGATACAAAACACACAGGCAATAGGGGTAGATGAAAGAAGGAAGGACTTTGTGAGCTCCCAGTGCTGAGGGGGAACTGGGTTCCTTGAGAAAATCAGGGACAGTGTTAGGGTTTCACCAGAAAAAGGATTTTTTTAAAGGGTTCTATCATAGAAAAAAGTTTACATTAGACAATACTGAAGAGCCGGTCTGTTTATTGGTTCAAGAAAAATTGAACCACACATCATCCCAGCATGAAATAAAAACCCATAATCGCAATCTGTGTGTTTTTACCTGTCCCTGATTGCTTACCTCCAACTAACATTCGATCCAGATCTTGCGTCCCGCTTTCTGCTTCACTCGGGTGTAGTTCAGGAAGTGGCTGGGGCTGCTGTGTGCATTGTCCTTTCAGATCCTCATCCAGGTTGAACATGCGATGCTGGAGACGCAGGTCTGGCTTCAGAGGGAAGGAACCCGAGGAAAGGCTTCCCAAGGACTTCGAGGGCTTCAGTCGGACAGGCAAGCGGGATTTCTTGAACGAAGGGCAAAGATCGCTCTAAGGATACACAACCAAGATCACGACAGTCAAGAGAAAGGTGTAAACAAGCCTCGGCATGAGAGGATGGATTGGGAATGGCTGAATCCAAATGGGGGCTTCCCCTCAACCTGGAAAGAAGTGACAAGTCCTCAGTCATTTCAAGGCTATTCAACCTCTTTTATCAATGACTTGGATGATGGAAAAGAACGCATACTGATCCTATTTGCAGATGACGCCAAAATGGAAGGGACAGTTGATATTGCAAAGGAATCTGGCTCGAAAAAGATCTTGGAGTCCTTGTGGACAAGTTACACATGAGCCAACAATGTGATGCGGCAGCAAAAAAAGCCAATGGGATTTTGGCGTGCATCAATAGGAGCATAGTGTCTAGATCCAGGAAAGTCATGCTACCCATGCTCTATTCTGCCTTAGTTAGACCACACCTGGAATATTGTGTCCAATTCTGGGCACCACAACTGAAGGGAGATGTTGACAAGCTGGAATGTGTCCAGAGGAGGGCGACTCAAAGGATCAAGGGTTTGAAGAACAAGTCCTATGAGGAGCGCTGAAAGAGCTGGGCATGTTTAGCCTAAAGACGAGAAGGCTGAGAAAGAGGAAACATGATGGAGGCCATGAATCAAGAAGTGAGGGGAAGTCGTAAGGAGGAGGGAGCAAGCTTGTTTTCTGCTGCCCAGGAGACTAGGACACAATGGAGCAATGGCTTCAAACTACAAGAAAGGAGATTCCACTTGAAAATTACGAAGAACTTCCTGACTGTGAGAGCTGTTCAGCAGTGGAACTCTCTGGAGAGTGGTGGAGACTCCTTCTTTGGAGGCTTTTAAACAGAGGCTGGATGGCCATCTGTTGGGGGTGTTTTGAATGCAATTTTCCTGCTTCTTGGCAGAATGAGGTTAGACTGGATGGCCAATGAGGTCTCCAACTCTATAATTCTATGACTCCATAAAAGGATCAGGATCCAAAATGACGGTCTAGATAGACACAGATATATAGGGCTTGCAAATATTGCAGGAGGAAAATGCACATATAGAGAGAGAGGATTTGCAAATGTTTCAGCGCTGAATGAATAGGTAACATCAGTATATACGAGGGTTGAATGAAAAGTAATGCCTCCACCTTCATAACTCCTTAACAGATAGCAGTACTGGTATGCGGCAGGTACTGGCTTGTTCAGTACACTCTCCTCTACAGTTCCAGTTTGGCAGGAAGCCTTAGCATTGAATGGTTGTGTTGTTAAAGTGCAAAGTATGGAACCCTGTGCAGACGGTTGGTCAATGCGACTTAAGCAACGTGCAGTCATTGAATTCTTGACAGCAGAAGGTGTCACCCCAAAGGAGATTCATCAGAGAACGCAAGCTGTTTATGGTGATTGTGTTGATGTGACTACTGTGTGTCGTTGGGTGAGAAAGTTTAAAGATGTTGAGGTGACACCTTCTACTGTCAAGAATTCAATGACTGCATATTGCTTAAGTTGCATTGATCAAATGTCTGCACAGGGTTCCATACTTCGCACTTTAACAACACAACTGTTCAATGCTAAGCCTTCCTGCCAAAATGGAACTGTAGAGGAGAGTCTATTGAACAAGCCAGTACCTGACTCATAACAGTACTGCCATCTGTTGAGGAGTTACAAAGATGGAGGCATTACTTTTCATTCAACCCTCATATAATTATAGATCTATATCTAGCTCTGCATTCTTTCTATACGCATTGAATGCTTTCCTGTTACTATTTTGGAAGCTGGCCTGAGTCCTTATGGGGAGTTAGGGCGGGAGACAAATAAAGTTCTATTATTATTATTATTATTATTATTATTATTATTATTATTATTATTATTAATATGTTATTGTTGATACCATATTGTTTTTCTTGACCCTCCTTTTCCACTTACAGAGCTAGTTTACTGTTTCTCTTTGAAATACAGTAAATATGCAAAAACATTTAACCTATTGATACCTTAATTAATGTAATTTATTGGTATCTATAATTTACTAGTAGCTGCTGCATTTCCCACCCACAAGTCAATACGTTTTGCAAGTATTTTCAAGTAAAATGGGATGCCTCGGCTTATATTTGGGTTGGCTTATACTCGAGTATATAGAGTAGTCAAAAACCTAACACAATGTCATTGTGCTGGTTTTGTAGACGGATTCTATAGGGAGGAAAAAGAATTTGTTGCTCAGAAAAGAAATGGAATCAACGAATATGAGTCTCATTTAAGGAACGTTTTGGCCACTGCTTTCATGTCAAAAGCAAGTCTCTCTGAATATTTGGTTTTCCCCTTTCCGCCAATGAGATGCAACACAACCTCGGAGAGCAAGAAAGAGAAACCTTCAAGAAGGCCCCTGGGAGATACGGCTCCGATTGTCATAAAAATCTTCGCCATTGTCGCGGCGAGGCTTTGAAAAGTAGGCTTAACAAATTAGATTTCTATAGATTTTAAAAGGAGTCATTCTTATCCAATTTTATCCTCCCAGAAACCCTGCAAAGTTTGCATACGGGTAAAAAGAAAAGGAAGTCGCTCTTCATGCAAGGCATCATTAACTTACGAAATTGTCGCCAAGTGTTGTGAGAGCGACTTAGCGTAGTAGGGATTTTTTAAAAAGCAAGTTAAAAACACATTCATGGAGCCCAGTCTATCAGTAGCTTATTAGGCCTAATCAGGAAGAATGACAGCTATGAATCCAGAAGCAATGTAATGCCAATGAATGTAAACATTGTCTTTATGGGGCAAAGTAAGATCCACCTGCTGGTGGAGCACAACGAATACCTCAACGAAATCTGATACAAAACAGGAGCTTTTTTGTTGAGTTCCAGGGTCAGAGAAGAAGATGGGGAAAACAGAGGAACGGCCTACCTCCGGGGAGCGTGCTTCCTCCATCAATGTTTAACATTTACACAAATGACCAGCCACTGCCAGAAGGGACAAAGAGTTTCATCTATGCTGATGATCATGCCATCACCGCTCAAGCAGGGAGCTTTGAAATGGTTGAACAGATTGGGACAACATCAGAATATTTCCTACATGAGGAGAACCTGTGGGTGCCATGAGGTAGATGCAGAAGTGGAGGACTCAGAATGTTTTTTCTTAAAATGTCCCTACTACAATAGGGTCCGGTCTTACTACCTAGTGCAGTGTTTCTCAACCTGGGGGTCGGGACCCCTGGAAGGGTCGCGAGGGGGTGTCAGAGGGGTCCCCGAAGACCATCAGAATACACAATATTTCTGTTGGTCATGGGGTTTCTGTGTGGGAAGTTTGGCCTAATTCTATCATTGGTGGGGTTCAGAATGCTCTTTGGTTGTAGGTGAACTATAAATCCCAGCAACTACAACTCCCAAAAGTCAAGGTCTATTTTCCCCAAACTCCACCAGAGTCCACATTCGGACATGTTGAGTGTTCATGCCAAGTTTGGTCCAGATTGATCATTGTTTGAGTCCACAGAGCTCTCTGGATTTAGGTGAACTACAACTACCAAACTCAAGGTCAATGCCCACCAAGCCGTTCTAGCATTTTCTGTTGGTCATGGGATTTCTGTGTGGCCAGGTCTGATTCAATTCCATCGTTGGTGGAGTTCAGAAAGCTCTTTGATTGTAGGTGAACTATAAATCCCAGCAACTACAACTCCCAAATGACAACATCAATCTCCTCCAACTCCACCAGTATTCAAATTTGGGCGTATCGAGTATTTGTGCCAAATTTGGTCCAGTGAATGAAAATCTATCCTGCATCTAAGATATTTGCATTACGATTCATAACAGTAGCGAAATTATAGTTATTAAGTAGCAACAAAAATAATGTTATGGTTGGGGGTCACCACAACATAAGGAACTGTATTAAGGGGTCGCAACATTAGGTAGGTTGAGAACCATTGACCTAGAGCCTCTGCTGGAGAATCATACTTATTTAGAGAATAAGGAGAAATTGCACATCCTCCTACAGGGTTCAGATAAAATCTCTATTTTAAAATTGACCATTTATACGCAAAAAGCACTGGCCATCTGCGAGAAGATGGAAGCAGAGAGAGGTGACCTTGCTGCCATCAACAAAATTCAAACTTAAAAACTTAATATGGACATGCCACTAGTTTTACCTACCCGCGCCCCTGCCCAAACCCTACTTTAAGGTATTAATCAATTTTAATCTTTTAATTTTTTTATCTTGTAGTTGCACAATCATTTAGGAGTGGGTTGACAGGCCAGTAGGCCGGGATACCTTGTATTCATATATGGTTTTACTGTATGTATGGGCAAGCGTGTATGTTTTGCATGTTTTGATATGGTCAAAATTGACTAATCAATAAAGAATTGTTGGTTGAACAGAAGCTCTCCGAAGTTTTAGGTGCTTTTTCTGCCTATTACAGGAAAAACCAAGGCAGTGACATCTCCAGCTCATCCCCTGTTTGGGTATCAGCCAGCACATCAACGACTTAAATCAAGAAATAGTTTTCTAAGATCTACAGAGACACTCGCTGGAACACCTCAGCAAGCGAGAGTCCAAAAGTGGCAGGCTCAAACCCAGAACCTCAATCAATGGCTGATACCAAATGAGAGACTCCCCCCTGGGCACACAGAAAACTGGGCGACTTGGAAGGCACTCTGGCACCACGAGATGCAGAGCCAATCTTCAGAAATGGGGCTACAAAGTGGAATCCACGATATGCAGGTGTGGAGAAGAGCAAACTACAGACCATCTGCTGCGATGCAACCTGAGCCCTGCTACATGTACAATGGCGGACCTTCTTATAGTAGCACCAGAGGCACTCCAAGTGGCCAGCTACTGGTCAAAGGACATTTAATCAACTACCAAGCTTGCAAACTTTGTGTTTTGTTTGTTTGTTTGTTAAAAAATGAAATACAACTGTTTGGCTTGCTCCTGACACGATAAATAAATAAATACAGGGAAAACCAGCTGATTCCTAATCCATCTAAAATACAGATGTGTGCTTTTCACGTTAAGACCAGACAAGCAGCTCGAGCTCTGAGGATTACCTGGAAAGGAATCCCACTGGAGCATTGCAACACACCCAAATACCTGGGAGTCATTCTAGACCAGTGGTTCTCAACCTGGGGTCCCCAGATGTTTTTGGCCTACAACTCCCAGAAATCCCAGCCAGTTTACCAGCTGTTAGGATTTCTGGGAGTTGAAGGCCAAAAACATCTGGGGACCCCAGGTTGAGAACCACTGGTCTAGATCGTGGTCTAGACTGTGCTCTGACTTATAAGAAGCACTACTTGAATATCAAGCAAAAAATGGGTGCTAGAAATAATATCATACGAAAGCTGACTGGCACAGCCTGGGGATCACAACCAGACACTGCTTGACTATTAAGTAAAAAGTGGGCACTGAAAATAATATACAGAATCTCACTGGTACATCCTGGGGATCACAACCAGACACAGTGAAGACATCTGAGTTTATCAGAGTTTTAAGATTGTCTGCACACTGCACTTACCCTAAATTCCGACATACCACCTGTCACACCCAGGACTTTTTAATATGTACCCTCACATTTGGCCCAGCCCTAGTTTTATTGCGTCGTGGTGTATTGTTTTATTGTTTATTGCTATTGTTTTATTGTTTGATTTGCTTTAAGTTATGTGTTTTGTTATGCTGTTGTTTTATTGAGGCCTTGGCCTGTGTAAGCCGCATCGAGTCCTTCGGGAGATGCTAGCGGGGTACAAATAAAGTTAATAATAATAATAATAATAATAATAATAATAATAATAATAATCTGCCTTTGCACTTTGCTACTCTGCTGCTGAATACGCATGCCCAGTATGGGACACATCTCACCACATTAAAACAGTGGCTATGGCTCTTAATGAGACATGCCGCATTATCACAGGATGTCTATGCCCTACACCACTGGAGAAATTATACTGTTTAGCTGGTATTGCACCACCTGAAATCCACCAAGACGTAGCAGCCTGTAATGAAAGGACCAAGGCAGTGATATCTCCGGCCCATACTCTACTCGGATATCAGCCAGCACACCAACACCTTAAATCAAGAAACAGTTTTCTAAGATCTACAGAGATACTTGAAGGAACGCCACAGCAAGCAAGAGTCCAAAAGTGGCAGGTGAAAACCGGAATCTCAATCAGTGGCTGATACCAAATGAGAGACTCCCTCCTGGGCACACAGGACAACTTGGAAGGCGTTGAACAGGCTGCGCTCTGGCACGAGATGCAGAGCCAACCTTAAGAAATGAGACCACAAGTGGAGTCCACGACATGTGAGTGAGGAGAAGCTCAAACCACAAACCGCTTACTACAATGCAGTTTGAGCCCTGCCACATGCACAATGGAGGACCTTCTTACAGCGAGACCAGAGGCACTCCAAGTGGTCAAAGGACGTTTAGGATAATGCCAAGTTTTTAATTTTGTGTTTTAAATACATTACAACTATACTCTCAATTTGCTCCTGACACGATACCCCTGCTATGTATAAGTCTCTTAAATATCTTGGGCCCCCCTCCCACCACCACCACCAAAAAATATATGCAAAAACCCAACTCATCTTCGTAAGCCAACTCACTTTGTTCGTTTTACTCAAACGCAGGGGCTTCTCCAGCTGCTTGCTCTTCGTTGAGACTCTCTTCTGCCGCCGTTCTTCATTCAATCGGGAAGATTTCGCTTTATCGTCCCAGCTTGCGATTCCACCTTCATGTTTTAGCCTCCCGACGCTCCCTTCCGCCACCGCTGTTTGTGTAGCCGTGTCTTTCACTTCCACTTTTGACGCTTCCGCCTCCGTATTAATCTGCGGCCCAGGTTTGGGATCAAGCCCTTCTTTTTCAGCCACAGTGGACTGCGATTCAAGTTGCCGCTCCTGGGATTTATTTACTTGGGCAAGCTCTTTGAGTTCGGCTCTCAGTTGAATAATCAACCGCTTAAGATCTTTCTCATCTTTATTCTCCAGATCGTCGCTCGAACCGTCCCGCTCGCTTGCGTTCAGATGATCTAACGGCTTATTTGCAATTTTCATTTGTTCCTGTCTGCTTTTGCCCAAAGGGTTTTCAAAAGGAGGAGGAAAGGAAAAACAAACGTTTGAAAACAGGATTCATAAAAAAACCAAGATTACACTCTGAGAACTAGTTTCTAGAACTGTCACAATGTATTAGCGCTTGCTTAATAATATATATTTAGGTAAGGGTAGGTAAAGGTTTTCCCCTGACATTAAGTCTAGTCGTGTCTGACTTTGGTGGTTGGTGTTCATCTCCATTTCTAAGCCAAAGAGCCAGTGATGTCCATAGACCCTCCAAGGTCATGTGGCCAGCATGACTGCATGGAACGCCGTTACCTTCCCACCTGAGGGTACCTATTGATCTACTCACATTTGCATGTTTTCGAACTGCTAGGTTGGCAGAAGCTGGGGCTAACAGCGGGAGCTCATGCCACTCCCCGGATTCAAACCTGCAACCTTTCGGTCAGCAAGTTCAGCATCTCAGTGCTCTGACCCACTGCGTCACCGAGGGATCAGATAGGCCTGGAAAGCATTCACACTCATCAGTGCCTATACACCCCACACAATACACATACTACCCATGGAAAAAGAGTGTGTGTGTGGCCGAGCATAGACAGGCCTGGAAAGTGTGCATGCTCATCAGTGCGTGCACACTCTACGCAACACACACACTCTCCCTGGAAATAGAGTGTGTGTGTGGCAAGGCACAGAGAGGAAGTGCCTATACACCCCACACAACACCCATACTACTCTCCATGGAAAAAGAGAGTGTGTGTGGCCAGGCACAAGCAGACCTGGAAAGGATGCACGCTCGTCAGTGCCTATACACCCCACAGAACACACATACTTTCCATGGCAAGAGAGTGTGTGTGGTGGGGTATAGGCAGGCCTGGAAAGCACGCATGCTCATCAGTGCGTGCACGCCCTACACAACACACACACTCTCCCTGGAAATAGAGTGTGTGTGTGGCGGGACACAGGCAGGCCTGGAAAGCATGCATGCTCATCAGTGCGTGCAGGCCCTACACAACACACACACTCTCCCTGGAAATAGAGTGTGTGTGTGGCGGGACGCAGGCAGGCCTGGAAAGCATGCATGCTCATCAGTGCGTGCACGCCCTACACAACACACACACTCTCCCTGGAAATAGAGTGTGTGTGTGGCGGGACGCAGGCAGGCCTGGAAAGCATGCATGCTCATCAGTGCGTGCACGCCCTACACAACACACACACTCTCCCTGGAAATAGTGTGTGTGTGTGGCGGGACGCAGGCAGGCCTGGAAAGCACGCATGCTCATCAGTGCGTGCACGCCCTACACAACACACACACTCTCCCTGGAAATAGAGTGTGTGTGTGGCGGGACGCAGGCAGGCCTGGAAAGCACGCATGCTCATCAGTGCGTGCACGCCCTACACAACACACACACTCTCCCTGGAAATAGAGTGTGTGTGTGGTGGGACGCAGGCAGGCCTGGAAAGCACGCATGCTCATCAGTGCGTGCACGCCCTACACAACACACACACTCTCCCTGGAAATAGTGTGTGTGTGTGGCGGGACGCAGGCAGGCCTGGAAAGCACGCATGCTCATCAGTGCGTGCACGCCCTACACAACACACACACTCTCCCTGGAAATAGAGTGTGTGTGTGGTGGGACGCAGGCAGGCCTGGAAAGCACGCATGCTCATCAGTGCGTGCACGCCCTACACAACACACACACTCTCCCTGGAAATAGAGTGTGTGTGTGGTGGGACGCAGGCAGGCCTGGAAAGCACGCATGCTCATCAGTGCGTGCACGCCCTACACAACACACACACTCTCCCTGGAAATAGTGTGTGTGGCGGGACGCAGGCAGGCCTGGAAAGCACGCATGCTCATCAGTGCGTGCACGCCCTACACAACACACACACTCTCCCTGGAAATAGAGTGTGTGTGTGGTGGGACGCAGGCCGGCCTGGAAAGCACGCATGCTCATCAGTGCGTGCACGCCCTACACAACACACACACTCTCCCTGGAAATAGTGTGTGTGGCGGGACGCAGGCAGCCCTGGAAAGCACATGCACACCTGTCAGTGCCTGACTGCAGCAGAGTGCCTGAAGTCACATATCCCACCACACACACACACCCAGAAAGGAGGGAAGCCACACATCCGGACCTGATAATGAGGTCCGGATGTGTGGCTGCCCGGCCACGACTCCCATGAATGGATGTGGCGTACTGTGCATGCAAGGGAAGAAGGGAGGGAGGAGGAGAAAGAGAAGAATGGTAGGTTGCTTACCTGTAACCGTGGTTTCCTGAGTAGTTACCTGTGAATTCACACATTGTGGTATTCCTGCGCCA